CATAGTACGGCGACATCTGACAAGAGCTGCAATTTTTGATGAAAAATATCGAAAAATATCAAGTTGTTTTGGACTTAATCTGATGGGAGGCTTGAATCTGTTAGTAGATTGACTTGATTTTGCTGATTGTGGTGCTTAAATGCTCCTGTTTTAATGTAAATCGAATTAAATTTGACTTTAAATCAAGTTAATTGTTAAAAATTAAAATTATAAGTTAAGTTAAAGCAGCTGCCACCAGTCTTAAGCTGAACCAGAGTAAGTGGCTTTGCTCGGAAAATAGACTTTACGGACCTTTCGCCTGACTTACCACTGTGGGTTACCATTCACAAGAAGAGGGAAAAATGAAGACTAAACTTTACATTTCTTGTACAGTGACCATCAAAGAGGACAACTCTTACTCTTTGGTCACCATTTGAAACTTCTATTAATATTACCAATGGTGCAGTCTCTCAGCGGTAACTGTTTGCGGTTTTGAAAATTAAAGTTAATTATTTGTTGGTGATTTTATTATTTTTTGTTTGTGAAAATATTTGAGAGATCTTTAAAAAATTCAATTTAGGATTGTTTTGTTTTTTCATTCAACACTAATTTATATTCGGATTTATCCTTTTTAGTTTTAATCAATTTTGAAGTCATTGATAATTATTCCAAGTTTTGTTTCCAATCAATTGTACGTACAAAATTTGATATTTTTGTGATCCTTTATTGAATCGTTTTTTACTTTTTAATACTTGATGTTGCCATTTAAAAGAGACATTTTTCATTCGGCTTTCTTATTTCATAAGATTGAAAAAGTTTTACTTACATTGGTCTTCTAGGAGAAATATTTTTGGCTACATATTAAGATTAGTTTCGTACAAAATGATAATCTTGGATTTTTCTTTGGCTTCCATTTGTTGAAGATTAGTTCCTCGACATTTTAATTCAAACCTCGATCGGAAAGATTCTGAATACCAGACTTATGGTCCTTGAATCAAAATCACCAGGCCTAACAATCTACATTAAGTAGGTATGATAAGCTAGTTGTTTGATGTTTCAGAACATGTGTTGGTTAGCCATTTTCTGACTTTGGATAAATTGTCAGGTTTGTATCAAAATTAAAATCCCTTTAATGGTTTTATTCACTAGTATTCATGTCAGTTCAAGTTTCATTCGACCGTTAACCTGACGAGTAAGATTCAAAAGTATACTTAATATTTAGGTAAGATGAAAAACTGTAGACTCGACCAGATGAGGAGATTGACACAGATTAAAATAATTTTGTACTTTTTTATTGCTGGAATTCAGATATAAAAGCCATTTGAATGGGTGAATTGAAAATTATTTGTTTCTATCAGCTAGTTCATATAGCGAAACCTCCACAAGCCCCAGTTTAAGGGTCCTATAGGCTTACTTTAAGTAAAGCATGAGCAACTTCGGCAAATCGTAGTTCTTCATTGTCAGATTTTGCATATGTTTCATAAATAAAGGAAGTATTGTTTCTAAAATGGTCAGCATTTGGTGTCCTCGTTGAGAATCAGCAGCATAAGCAGCTACAGTTACACACAATGAAACTGCATCAAGAATAGTTAAGGCCTCGGGATCCATTTGATAACAAAAATCAAGAGCCTTTAAAGGTTTTTCTGCATCCACAAGTTCAAGAATATCCAATGGATCAACAATATATTGACCGAGAGATTGAAGGAGCTGAAAAAATGCTTTTGGCTGAACTCTGGAAGCATCACCGATTGAGCTTGAGCTATCAATATCCAAAATGAGAGCTGCACTGCCGCTCATCTAAAATGAAATTTAAAAAAAAAACAATTTAGTTTATAAAGCGGAATAAAACAAATAGGTAAGACTTATTTAGAAAACTTTAACTGAAGTATGAAAGGTTGATGATCGTTGAGGAAAGATGATCAAGATGATGATTATGTGAAAACTGGAAACCGCTTTCTACCTGCCTGACGGCTTTTTTGGCAAAAGTTCACGGCCAAATCTTTCCTGGAAACGTTGTTGTTGAATTGTTAGGCTTACCCTTCCGGGTTTCCCTAACATTGAAAACGTCTGCCCTTTTGCTTTCTCATTCTTTAACAACCGTTTCTTCAATGTTAATCCATTAAATAATATCCAATCTTGAATCACTTTTCACTTGTTTTAACGCTCGCTTTTCATTTTTTTACATTCACTGAATAACATTACTAGTTTGGGTTCACAGTTTCACATCTTTTGGGTATCGCCATTTTTACCTCTTATTTTGTGTATTTTTATATTTCATCATCGGATCAACATTATTTGGATACCTTCATGGTCAACATTGTTTACAGTATTCACTAACAAAGTGATAACAAACCTTTTTTATGGTTACCTGTGTTAACTAACTAGTCTTGTTGATAATTATACATTTTATTTATAATATACATCAAAATATATTATATTTTGTTTAGTTTTTTTACTCGTTAAACTGTTCACCAAAATTTATCCCAAAAATGTCATTCGCTGGATTAAAAGCATTCGGTGATGAGTTCTCATCCCAGGTAAGTCAATTGTTTCACTTTTCTTACCTTACCCTTCAACTAATGGTGTTTCATTGTTTAACCTAACCAGGAGGTGAATGAGATTAATGTTTATCGACAAATCAAGATGAAAATGTTTCTCAGTCAAAAGGAAAACAAAGCTCCAACAGCATTTGAATCACCGTTTGAAGAGTCATCCTCATCATCAACTACTTCACTATCATCACCATCATCACCCTCCTCGACGGATAAGCGAACCTACCAATGTCAATATTGCCTTAAGTCTTTTGGTCAAATGTCTAATTTAAAGTGTCATGTTCGGACTCACACCGGTGAAAGGCCTTTCGAATGCAAAATATGTTTCAAATCGTTCATCCAATTAGCTCATCTACAGAAACATGAGCTTGTTCATACCGGCGAAAAACCCTTTCAATGTGATCTTTGTTTGAAACGATTTACCTCAAAAAGTAACCTTAATAACCATAAATCTCGCCATGTCCATGAATCTCATCAATCTTCCCTAGAATCTACAGTAAATTATCAACATGATGATTTTCATAAACATTATCAATGACCACCTTTCGATGTAGCTTTATTTATAATCTCTGTAATCTATGATAATGTCAACGATAAAATGAAATTGATTGTTATAATAAACTTGAAATGTTAATGCTAAAAAATAAATTGCTAGTTAGACAGTGTTTTACCCTGCAGTTCAAAAGTCAATATTGAATTGCATAAATACTCTACATCTCTATATATCATCTTCAAGACTGAACGATGGCTGATTCCAATTGTTGGCTTGGCCTTTTCATCTATTTCCATCTTTGAGTTGACTAGATCATCTTTAAGTCCACGAAGACAGACTAATATTGAAAGACATTGGATAAATCATGGCCCATGAAGATTGACTAGGTATATTGTCACCTATTAATCCTGAATTACCCGAATCACCTAAAATAATACTTTGTCCGACAGCAATAAGAGATTTAAGATGAGGTAGATGAACAATGGATGCTGAACAGCAAAAGTTGAATACACTCCTTTCAATAAACGCTTTGCTGCTCTTCATTTCAATTCTACAAACGAATGCATTGAATTTGACGGTGCTTTCCATTTACTTTGCTCATCCAATTCTCATCGATGTGATAAGATTACAATTAAGCATTACACGTACATGTGTATATTGTGTATATTAAACTATCACACCATTGGGAGTTAGATGTGCAAAGAAAATTTAAAGAGTCGTTAAACTCAATGCATTCGTTTGTATAAAGAGCTTCATTCATATAACGAACTAAACCTCGACAAGCCATAGTTTGAGGGTCGTATGGGCTTAATTTAAGTAAAGCATGAGCAACTTCGGCAAGTCGTAGATGACATTTTACATCCAACAGTTCGTATGATGAATTTTTCTGATGAAGATCAGCAACTTTGAATGAATTTGAATGAATTGTATAAATACTCTCATCTACATCTCTATACTACACATCTTCAAGACTATTACTATTAATATTACAACTCCTGAATGAAGTGGTGAAGCAAATGTAAAACTAAAACTAAACATGAGTTGTTGGCTTGGCCTTTTCATCTATTCCTACAATCCATATTCCATCTAGTCAGCCCAAATGATGATCAAGATGATGATGACGTGAAAACTGGAAACCACTTTCTACCTGCCTGACGGCTTTTTCAGCAAAAGTTCACGGCCAAATCTTTCCTGGTAACGTTGTTGTTGAATTGTAATGCTTACCCTTCCGGGTTTCCCTAACATTGAAAATGCCTGCCCTTTTGCTTTCTCATTAGCTTACAACTTTTGCTTCAATGTTAATCCAATCTCGAATCACTTTTCACTTGTTTTACATTCACTGAATAACATTACAAGTTTGGATTCACAGTTTCACATCTTTTGGGTATCGCCATTTTTACCTCTTACTTTGTGTATTTTTATATTTCATCATCGGATCAACATTATTTGGATACCTTCATGGTCAACATTATTCACTAACAAAGTGATAACAAACCTTTTTTTATGGTTACCTGTGTTAACTAACTAGTCTTGTTGATCATTATACATTTTTTTAACATACACATATATCGGACATTATCAAAGAAACTAAACTTTACATTTCTTGTACAGTGGCCATCAAAGAGGACAACTCTTACTCTTTGGTCACCATTTAAAACTTCTATTACCAATGGTGCAGTCTCTCAGCGGTCACTGTGTGTGCTTTTAAAATCAAAGTTAATTATTTGTTGGTGAGTTTATTATTTTTTGTTTGTGAAAATAAATGGGTGAAATGAAATGAATCAAATGCAAATATTAGATGTGAAATGATTTACTTTAATCTATTTGATAAAATTGGAAAGGAATTATCATTTGTTTCAACAGTTAACGTTATTGTAAGTAGATTGAATTGTAGGATTGAATATGAGCTTTGCTGAAAATAATTTAGTCGATGTATGTCGGTTAATTATGAGAGAAAAATGTTAATGAGCCAATTAAGCTCGAATTGGACTGTTAATTAAGTTAATAATTTATTTGAGTCCTTTAGTTACAATGAGAATTGAGAAAGGAAAAGAAAAGGTTTAATATCTTTTGGATTTTTTGAGTTGTTGGAAGAATAAAGCATAGAATATTGCTTTAACATGATCATGATAATAGTGATAACGATCAAGAATATTGTTACAATTTAAATCATAATATAAGCTTGTGAATGATAAACAATCAAAATTAAAATTATCGCAATTTAATTTGAATTGTTGCGCTTTCGAATGCGAATCGATGTGATCAGCTTTTTTGTTTTTCATTATTTGGATTAACTTATTGAATGATTTCAGTTTTATAATAAAATCCTTTGATCATTTTCAGTTGATTTCAATTTAAAAAGATGCTATTGTTTTACACTGACAACTGGATTGTTTAACAACTAAATAATCAATTAATTGGCGCTAACTAGTGTAAATGGGTAACTTTGTGACGATCCTAAAAAGATAATATTGTTTTCTTATAGCATTTTCTTTTCCTTATTTCTCATTCAATTAGTTCTAACTAATAATATTTATCAATGAATAATTAATAACCAGTCAATCAAGAAAAAAAAGGTGATAACTTTATGATCACTGATTTTCAAAGTAAAATCTTCCAGCTGTAGATTAACAGAGAAAAAAATAACTGAAAGATTGCCTTTGTTATTGATTCGTTGCTGATTTTGGGACGTATAAATTAGCCAAATTTGAAAGAGACAGAAAAAAGGGTTTGCTGACAAAAGGAGGTTGTAATGGATAAACTTGCTTTGCTTTGTGTTGCTGCTTCATCTGAATTACAATTGTATTTGATTTTGTTTCTTATCAATTTGTTCATTTGTTTGATTTGCCTTTCAATTGTAAAAACAGTTGGAATTTTTGGACAAGCATTTGATTTGTGGCTGATTTTTCTGACCAACTAAATATTATTTAAAAGGGCTACACTTGAAGTGAGTCAGATTGGATGGAAGTCAGTTTATCCAAGAGAACAATATTTTCACTGTTTTCATTGTTATCACAATTTTTGGCTGATGATGAATCCTCTTTGGTCTCATCTTTTTGGCTTTCTTGTTTCTTGGATAATCCCGTTGATTCGATCACCTTAGTCACTGCTTTAAGTTTCAACGATCCAGATTGAGTTAATACTGTTGTTGATGGTTCATCACTACCAGTTTCATCAACATTGGAAGGATTCAGAAAACCTGCTCCTTTACGTGATTTTCTGAAACGAAATGTTTTTCTACTTTGAGCTTTTTGACGTTGTAGTCGATGTTTAGGTCTATCAATATCATCATTTTCAGTAGAATCCTGTCGATTTGCTTCTTGATCAGAGCTTTCAGATCTATCCTCCTTCTTACTAGATGGATCATCTTCAAGACTATTACTGTTCATCTTTTTCTTCAGTTGATCACGACGGTTCCCTATTTTGCGACCATCTACTGTTGATTGACGGAATAAACGAGGTTCTGATTGAGTTTGTTCAGTTCCATTTGCTTTTGATTCGCCTGAAAGACAAACATGACAAAATGATTAGTTAAATTGAAATAATAAAAATTTTCACTAATAAAAATTACCTTTAGTTTCAGATTTATCTAACGGATTAGATGGATAACTTGTCCTTCTTATAAAATTACCCAATAATTTGCTTTTATCTGCATTATTTTCCATTGGAAGCTTAACACTGGTTCCTCTATTTAAATTTGTCCTATCGATACGGAAGCTTAACCCTCTTAAAAGAGATGGCCGCTTAGGAACTCCAGGAGCGTTTGATACTGATTGACCTTCAGCTGTATGATCAGAGGGTTCTTCAGCTGAAGCTTGAGAAGATGATGCTGGAGGTTGACCTCTAGAAACTCCTGAATGAAGCGATGAAGCAAATGTAAAACTAAGGCGATGACTGATTCCATGAGTTGTTGGCTTGGCCTTTTCATCTATTCCCATCTTTGAGCTGACTAGATCATCTTTAAGTCCACGAAGCTCGGCAAACAGACAGACTAATAATTGACCTCTACTTCGACAATGAGGCATATTTTGTCCCTCCAGTTTACATCGAATCAATTGCTGATAAAAGTATTCTTGATCATTATCACAAATTTTTTGCAACAATTTATAACGAATAAGAGGAAGGAGAAGAACGAAAAGTGGAGTTCGATGAGTAACGACGAAATCAATAAAATTCCAGAATGTAACACCTTTAAAATTCTTATCAGCATTTTCACGAATACAACGAGCAATTCGATACCAATCATTGGATAATTGTCTCTCAAAGCAAACCATCATTATTTTCAAGCCTAAAAGACCAATTTGTTGAAGGGAAGATTGAAAGGCTGCATGAGAATGTAAATATGAAGATTCAGCTGATTTTGATCCACTGCTACCTCCTATTTTGGATGATGGATTTAACGAGTTTAGAATAACTGAAAGTATAAATGTAATATCACAGGGACGAAGTTTTGGAACATTGTTCAGTCCACCAGAGATACGAATACACATTGGATAAATCATGTTCAATAGATAAATTTCGGTTTTCTCTGGATTGGTAAATGCTCCTGAACAAATGGTTTCTAGGGTTTGAGTCTCTCCTAATTGTAATAACTGCATGGCAATCAGTCTAACGGCAACTGAACAAAAACCTGGTGGTGGTGATTGAGATAAGGCCATGGCCCATGAAGATTGACTAGGTATATTGTCACCTATTAATCCTGAATTACCCGAATCACCTAAAATAATACTTTGTCCGACAGCAATAAGAGATTTAAGATGAGGTAGATGAACAATGTATGGATGCTTCAGAAAAGTTGAATACACTCCTTTCAATAAACGCTTTGCTGCTTCCCAGTCAGTTAATCTTTTAATGGCTCCTTGCTTGGCAATTTTATTGAACATTTTATCGAGTCGACGAAGAATCATGATTAATGCTGGCCTCATTGATTCTTGACGCCATTCCGAATTGGGCAGAACTTCATTCATATAGCGAACTAAACCTCGACAAGCCATAGTTTGAGGGTCGTATGGGCTTACTTTAAGTAAAGCATGAGCAACTTCGGCAAGTCGTAGATGACATTTTACATCCAACAGTTCGTATGATGAATTTTTCTGATGAAGATCAGGAACTTTTTTACTCAAATCAGCCAATCTAACGGCAGAACGAGTCAAAAACTCTGTCACAATATTGAGTAAAGTATCCCTAGGTCGTCTGAAATCTGCTCTAATTATATCAGAATCTTCATCACCATGTTGTTGTCTTGATCGAGTTGGAAAATAATTATCGCCCATAAATCTATATTAAAAGTATCAAAATATGATCATAAAATTACTTCAGTTGTCTTGTAATTAGTGATGTAATAAAGCAAAGGGAGAAACTTACTTTGAATGGCTATCTTCGTCTACATCGATTGGAGGTGAATAAGCTCCTCGTGAAGTATTTTTCATACTTGATCCTCTCAAATCTATTGCTCTTTGAGGTCCCGTGAAATTTCTGGATCAATAAATAAAAAATAAAAAATCGGTCAATAATGAATTGTATAAATACTCTCAGTGTTGATAAAAGAGCTGGCTTGCAAATTTACCTTGTTAAGGCCTCACAATTACGGATAAGTGTTTTTATACAGACAGAAATATTATGAATCATTTGAAGCTCTGTTTTAGGTCCACCCGGAGTCTCTTTCTTCATTGTTAGATTTTGCATATGTTTCATAAATAAAGGAAGTATTGTTTCTAAAATGGTCAGCATTTGGTGTCCTCGTTGAGAATCAGCAGCATAAGCAGCTACAGTTACACACAATGAAACTGCATCAAGAATAGTTAAGGCCTCGGGATCCATTTGATAACAAAAATCAAGAGCCTTTAAAGGTTTTTCTGCATCCACAAGTTCAAGAATATCCAATGGATCAACAATATATTGACCGAGAGATTGAAGGAGCTGAAAAAATGCTTTTGGCTGAACTCTGGAAGCATCACCGATTGAGCTTGAGCTATCAATATCCAAAATGGGAGCTGCACTACCAAACAACTGAAATAAAATTAAACAAACAATTTAGTTAAACAACTAAAGAAGCAAAACAAAATTAGTAAGGCTTATTGATCAACTTTACCTGAAGTATGAAAGGTTTTCGATGAAGTATGTAAAACTGTTTACAAACAAATTCAATAGTTCGACAGAGAAGCCCATTGGTTTGATGATTTGAATAAATGCGAAGCAGAGTTGGCATAATAAGAAGATAACCATTTACTGAGAAGATATTTTTAAATTGATGAGCAGCATTTAAGAAAGTAGCCATTGAAAGGCGAAGGACAGCGGCATCCTCACAATGAAGAACCAAAGTTCCATTGACAACGTTAAGAAACAGGTGAATATCAGCGGACTGAGCAAAAAAGCCTGAAGTGACCTCCAGCATACGACTAACTAATTTAACCCATACAATCTTATGTAAAGTATCCATACCAAGCATTTGTTTACCCATTGGACCTTTGTACAAATTAAAATTAGCCTCTAAAGCCTTACGAGGAAAAGATGGTAGCTTCATCAATTCATCATGTAAAAACAAAACTCTTTGTATTGCCAGATATTGAGATTTTACAATGGATAAGCTCATTAAAACCTGGAAGAAAAAAAATAACGGCAAGAATTAGAATTGTTAATAAGATAAAAAACAATTGAAATGGTCAACTAACCTTTCCAAGCTCAACAAATTGTAATTTGAAAGCTTGTTGTTGAAGTTTCTCGTATGCTTCAGCTGGATTCATTCGTACTAAAGATAATTGTGGATATTGTGATCTTTTGAAGAAATAAAAATCTCTAACATAAGCATTTAAATTGTGCATTTGATCTGAAAAAAAGTAAAATTTAAAAATTTAAATTGATTAGAGGATAAATTTTTAGTATAAATAATTTGAATGTTAAAATTAGCTTACTTGTTTTGGTGTCCACGAGGAAGTATTCATTGACTAGAGATAGATCAATGTTCATTGTATCTAAACTATCAATTAGAACCTGATAAAATTGAGTGTCTTCATGAATAGGAAATTGGGAAGGAATTGTGGCAGCATCATTGCTGTGGACGATAACCTTTTTAGCACTTGGAACGTTCGCAGTGATTAATAAAGTAGCATCACACTGCTCCTTACGAAAAACCTGTTTTAAATCTTTAAGAAACAAACCATGAACACAGGGAATAACCAACCAAAGAACGGACAAAGTTGTACCAATCATTTCTTGGCTTCCCTCGACTGGTGAACGAACGTAAAACATGATAAAACCAATAAGATAATTATACAGAGTATATGCTGCTTGAGCGGGAAGTCGAGGCATGAAACGTATTAATCGACGAAGTATTTGGAAGATCATTTTTTGTCCTTCTCTGGTTAACTTTTCAAAAAGATGACGAAGAAAGAGAACTGTGTCTTCAACTAAACAATGCCACACAACCTTGTAGGCAACCTCATATATTGCTGATCCAGTACCACTTACTTGTGGATCATTGAGTAAATTTATAATTGTAATGGCCGCTGAACAAAGACAAGACGGAAATATTGCTTGTGCAACCTGTTTATGGTGAGAAGCGGGTTTCTCTGTGGCAATATCTTCATCACCCTCTTCAGGTTCATCAGCTCGAAATAATGCAGGCTCATAAGCAGCTTCATTACAAGTTGGAACAGATGAGATGCGATAATTTTCCCTCTCTTCACGCAATTTAGCTTCTTCGTCCTGTAATACCTTGTTAACCAATTCAATTTGCTGTTTACGCCGAGTTTTGGTTGCTGTGACAAAAGATTTTTGTAACACTTGCTCCTGACTGATGGTTACCTCTTCAACTTTTGATTTAGTTGGTGGCATCCAAGGTGGATCAGCAACTGGCATGGTGGGTAATGCAATTTTTGGTGATGGCAAAGTAAATTCAATCACTGGTGGAGGCACTTTGAACACTAAGTGGGCTCCATCTTCCATTCGTTGCCAACATTGATGACGAGCCCTCCAAATGGCATAAAATTTATTAATTGCTTTGATTCGATTAGAAGGATCTTCTGAAGATAATTCATCTGAAAGTAGTTTGGACGCATACTCTGGACTTTTGACTGCAGCTATAATAAATGCAACTGAACATGATGTACGAACATCTTGATCAGTCTCAAGAATCATTTTCCATGAAAGGGAAAGAAGCGAATCAATTGATGGTGCTGATAAATTTAAAAATCCTTTGATTAAAGCTGAAATTGAAGAGTGAAATAAATTTTTAACATGATTGTTGATGAACAATAAACTTGGATTAGTTGGCTCAGAGTGGCTTGATTTTGTTGAACCATATTTTCTGATTGATGAATCACCATAACCAGAACCAGTTGCTCCAGCTTCAATATCATGGTGTGACAAAAGTCCAGTTGAACTGTGTAATGAATGAGTCTTCAAGAAACTGTCCTTGTCAACATAACGATCTGCATTGTGAGTTGCACTTAATTTACGTCTTAAAGGCGAGCTTGGTCCAGTTATTATCTTTTTAAATTTCTTTTCCTTCTTAAGAGCATCTTCTTTATCATCAATAACCCTAACAATTGAATCAATTGACGGTACAACATCTGGCTCTTCATAAACCTTTTTGATTACCTTGATTAACCGTGAACATGATCGCATTGACCGATGATAACAATTGGTATTACAAAAGTTTTTATGATTACATTCAAAGTCAAGACTATTGATCACATTAATGATAACCTTTAACCACGGCATATTCCGAATAATCTCAGAATCATCAGCTGATAGCATATCATTGGGATCACAAGTTTGTCCATCGTCAGACATCACTCCAGGTGATTCCTCTCCACTGATATCAGCGCGTTCACTTGTGTCACTTTTCTCAGAGATTCCACTCACTTTACGTCTTGATCGTAAACTATCTGCTCGTTGTATCAAATTATTAGTTAATCCAGTTGAGTCTTCATCATCTTCAATGACAATTGTTGATGAACGCTGTTTTGATTTACGATCTTGATTACGCTTCAGTTTGATGGAGCGACGCTTAAAACTTCCACTATGAGGGCCATTATTTGATGCGGTGCCTGTTGCCCGACGAAGAAGGTGAGGACGAGTTGGTTGAGCAGAGCTTTGAGATGCTCTTTTAAGCGGTTTCTTTGGATCATCATTTCCAGCAGTTTCTCCTCCTTTTCCTCCTTGTGGGTCACCGTCGGTTCCAGTAACCGTGGTATTGCTACTATGGTCAGAATTATTTTCACCATCAGCTTCATGTAAGACAAAACTAATCCTTCTGTCACCTGGATGATGAGCTTGTCCATAAGTTTGTTCAGCCAGTGATATTAAACTATGGGCTGATGTTTGACTAAAACCAAGGCTACTTAAAGCCATGCTCCAGCGTCTATTAGCAGTCATGGTTCGTGGTTCAAATGTACTTGGTTGTCGTATCGATGATTTAGAGGCACGATTGGGTAAATATTGATGGGTCTCCCGAAGGAAAGCAGTTATTTCAAACAACAAACAACAAGCAGCCATTTTCAATGAGAATGGACAATCATTTCCAGCTTGACTGATTGATGATTCAATGAGAAAATCTTCACAATCTTCTTCATTCTTTAATTGTTTTCTTTTACTTTCATCTTGGTTAACATTTGATTCATCTTCTTTGGAAATATTTTTCTCATTGAAAACTATCTCTTCCAAATGAGCTCCTAAAGCTTCAGCCCAGAGATAAAACATTCGTCCAGCATTTCTATGGAGACTTTGTGAAGCTCTATCCCTAAGACAAGATCCTGATCCACTTTTAACGGCTCCAGGTCGAAAAATGGGAAAATTAAGTTTCATCCAGCTAGGCCATGAACCTTTATTACACCGATGAACAAAATGAGCACATTCTAAGAAAAATGCTGCCCTTGATAAAACCGGTGCTTTAATATCAAGAACAGCGGCGATTAACGGAGGATCTGGAAGAGTTCCAGGAGAACAAGTTTCCAGTAGAAAAGCGAATTTAATCATTCCATTTCTAATGGCTGGCATACAAATCAAACGATTATCTCGATATGAAATCGTCTCTTCTTGACGATAAATTCCATCCATTTCAAAAGAATCACGTCGTTTGAGAGAATCTAAATTATCTTCAAAGCTCCCTTGTTTACTTCTACCTTTGCCAAAAACATTTTTAAATTGATCTTCCATTCTTTTACGAGCCTTCAGGAACGTTGAACCAACATGACTTGATGATTTACCGCCTATTTTAGGGGTTCGGTTTTGGAAACTTGGTCTGCGACTTAGCTTTTCGGCAATGTTACTCCCAGATGACGTTCTCAAGCCTTCGTTAAGACTATTTTCATTGAATAAGGCACTTGAAGGTCCGGTCATCCCACTTTGCCCACCAACAGGTCCAGATGAAAATAGTTCAGATGTAGGAATAAATACATCAGACTGTCCTCCTCCTTTGCTAGACTTGTCTCCTTTCAACCAATTGACTAGATTAAATTCGCCCTTGTCGGTTCCAGGGGTCATCTTAATTGATTTTTGAAGTAATAAGTCATCATCAGTTATACTCATTCGTGGTGATGCTGATCTGTTAATTCTTAATAAGGCAGGAGTACTTGAATGACTTACTGAAAGATTAGTTGCTGGCATGGACAGTCCCAAGTTTCCTGATCCACTTCCACTGCCTCCAACACCTAATGGACCTTCTGGACCACTTGTACTTTCTTCAACACCACTTCCTCCACCACCACCAGACCATATAAAATTTGGATAATCTTCAAATATACTTTGATTACTTGGAGCTTTTTTAATTCCTACATTGCTATTCTTTTTACGAAAGAAAGACTTTCTATGAGATGCACTTTTCTCACTTTCATTGGTTTCAATTGGAGTTCCAGTGAACATAAATGGACTTGGTGTATATGCTGCTCGAAGATCTGACCCAATATCAGGTTCACTTCCAGTTGTCTTTCCTAACGTTGATCTACCTGGGAGAGGACGACCTGATTCTGAAGCTGGCTTATTACGGGTTGAAACACTTTCAAGGCTTTCTAGCAGACCACTCAAGGCAACTTGCCGAAATGTACCTCCATGATTGTCTCGAATGTAACCAATCAATTGCCTTATATCACAATAAATGGACATATTTTCTTGTGCTTTCAATTCCTTTTCCATACCAACTAAGCGAGTAATTAATGAATTGAATACACAATTAATAATTACTCCTTCAACACCTGAAACATCTAATCTTTTGAAACCAGCACCAAAGTTATTGGCATATCCAGTTCGCCCATGATTTCCTATATGATTACCAATATGGGCAAATCCTGCCGCTAGTCCATTAGGGCCAGTTGAAAGTCCACTGCATAATCCATTGACTGGTCGGTTTCGAGTTGAGCTATTTGGTGATATAATTGGAGACCTTTCTGAGCAGAAACCAAGGAACGAATGAAATGTATCAACAACCTCTTGGAGTGGCCGGCGGATTACCATATCTTTCAAAAAATCATTGAATTCATTTTCATTTGTATGATAAAGAAGGGTTAACATATAAACAATCTCTTTTCGTCCAGCATCAGATTGTGATGAATGACCTTCATGACATGAATAAGGACAACCAAGATTACGGCAAACTTTCAATACTGTATCCAAAAATATTTGGTAAACATTGAGCTCTTCACTTGTGGTCAACTTCAATTTTTGAATTGTATTAGGTGACTCGTCAAAGGTAGTAGTTAACATATCTGATAAATCAGCTGAATTACAATTACGGAGTAAGCCCAAGGTTATCAGGGAATCAAGTATATTGATTATACCTTGGCAAACTCGATGAGAACAAACATTATCACGTAAACTGACCGAATGGACAGCTTTGAGGATCACAAGTAAACTTAAATGGCCCGATCTGGCGATATAGTGAATTGATCCAGGAGCTTCATTTGATGGATCAGTGAAATATGTTATGTTTGAATCTGTTTGACTTCGAGTTATTGAGTATTGCCTACACGGTGGATAATAAATAGACCGGTTTACAGTCCCAGAACGGTCTTCTTCTTTTAAACTATCATTTGGTTCTTGATTTATAAAGAATTGAACTGATGCAACAGGAGAATGTTCAGTTACCGTTATTATTGGATTGGGAGCAGTAAATTGGCTTTGATTACCAACTGTTTCAGGCATTCCAAAGATTCCCCCTGCATCTGCTCCATTGGTTACTCCAGCATTGGTTCCACTAAGAGCGTCTGAAAGGCCAACAGTTGATGTTACCCGTTTAAATGAAAGTCTTGAATCACTAATTCGTGAAACTCTTTCTAAACTTGGTGAATCTGAGCCATGTTTATCTGAATCAAATAGATGCAATGAAGGCATGCTCTTGCCTCGTATTAATTCAAACTTAATTTTACACCATTTAGAGTCTATACTTGATTCATCGTGAACTCCTAAAGCTGATTTTGGTCTTGGCGGAGATTTTTTGCTCTGCTTTTTACTATCCTCACTTTTGGTTGAACCAGTTAGCATATCATCTCCCAATGATTTACCATTTTGCCGAGTTGAATAATTAATATAAGGCGTTGACGATTTATCACCAGGTTGATCATGTTTAACAGTTGATGATTCACTAATATTACTCTGAGTATCTCTGGTTTTTTGTCTTTTTGAGCCACCAGATCTTCTGATCAATGAACCACCAAAAAATCCTGTATTGCTACTACTTGAATTACCTCCTGGGTCACCCCAATTAATACTATTACCACTAATTGATGAACGACGGAGTTCTGAAAATGAGGCTACTCGGCTTGAAGAAGTTAAATTTGTTGATGGAAATAGACGTTGATCATAATTAGCTCCAGAGTAATCAGTTTTAATTGAATTGTCAAGACCATAATTAAACAAGTTGATACTTTGAATAGGAAGAGACGAACTCCGAGGACGCTGGAAATCTGCTTCGTTGATTTGTTCCTGAATACTTTTCAATCTAGTAGTAAATTGAGAAAACAAACCAGATTACATACTAATCAAGTAAATTACTAAACAAAAAAATAATTTTGAGGTTTCCCTTAAACTATCTAACTCAGTAAAATCATCAATGATGATCTTACATTGGATAATGTTTACATTGAGTAGGAAAACTAAAATTTATTTAGGTTAAATTAAACAAAATAATAACTAATGATGTTCAGCCAACAGAAACATAGATGATTACCTTTTAATGAAATAATTGAGACTCCAATGAATCCCCTCTTCTAGCCATTGTGAAGTAAAGAGACATCTTAAAGTCGCAACATCAAGATATGTGGCCATCATGGGCTCTGATAAGCGTTTAAACCCTACTCCTTCACCATCTTTCTTCATCTCACTTTTATCGTCATGAGCATCTTCCAAGTTGGCAGCCTTCTCATTATTAACTATTGGCGGGATTGATGATTTACCAATTGTTTCGTTAGTTTTGGAACCATGGACGGGACTAGTTGACTTTCCAATTCTCTTGTCTTCTTGGGATGGTGATACTTGTTCATCTTTGTCAGCCTTGACATCAGCTAATAAAGAATATGAAATACAAAATGTTATTTGAACTGATTGACACATGGAAAAATGAAAGCAATTTCATTACCTCCAAGAAAAACATCACCAAATTTAGGTCTTAGTTTACCTTCAAACCTTGAGGCTCTCAAAATATTACGTCTGGGTTTAACCTGAGCAACAAAACTGGGTATATCTGGGTGTTGATAATCAAACAATGGACCCCACAATTTATGTCCATTTTCGAGGCGAAAACTTGTTAGAAAATCTGAATTTTTTAGATAAGAGATGAGCGGAGAGAAAAGGTAAACAAAAAGCTCAATAGTTGTTATTGGAAGAAGATAATGATCAATCGGGCGATTAATTCCTTGTTCAATTTCAGCATCAGCACATTCTTCAGCAGCATCCAGGACAATCCAATGAAGGGTGTACAATAGTTTAGTCTCAGCAGCACCAAGTTTATCCAAGTTACTGTTTTTCCGATTGTAAAGTAACGCTGAACAACAATGCATCACATGAGGTAAAGAAGCTTGAACAAGTTTCCACCTGAAAATTGTCCAATAAAGAACCAAATAAACAACAAATCATCATTAACTCAATAATAATTATCAATACAAAATAAAAATTAACTAATTGGATACAACAAATTGAGGATAAACAATTAATTTGCTATGAAAAACAAACCAGACACAACACATGTTTAAAAGACATTGAAAAGCAAACTTAGCCAAGCATTAAACATGAAGATCGTCTGACTAAAAATGGTTTAATGTTCAAAGCGCAAAAAATACAATTTTTATTTGAACAACATTATATTTAACCGATTAATAAACATTTTAAACCTTTAAATGACCAAAAATGACCAGTTTTAAGCATTAAAATGCCATCCTTTACATAAATACACAATAAATAAACAAGAGATGTGAAAATTGAAGGCCTGTTATACAAGAAAAGTGTGAAAATAATGTTTATATACGGACAAATCTAATGTTACCTGTTTTATTGACTCGATAATCAAATAAACTGTGTAAATTGTGTTTACAATCAGTTATTAGTTATACTTGACAAGCCAAACAAAAAAAAAGACCAAAAAAAGACCAAACTTTACAATGATTTGAAAGAGACTTGAAACTGACAATGTTCAAGTTATGCGCAATGCAGTTTGAAAAGAAAAAGTGTTTTAGTTGTTATTAGAACTCGAAAATCATATTTACTTTCAAGTCATTAGAACGCAGGGTTGTTGACCTTATTTCCATTCACTTATTCAGAAGATATACATGTTTGGTTGACTCCAATAAGCTGTAGTTACTGTTGATAACCAGGATAGTAAACAAAATTCAAGTTTCACTCAACACCAATCCTCAAAAGATCTATTGATTCTTACATTTCAAGAGCATTACATGAAAGACAATCTTATTTTTCATCTGTTTCAATCATCACTATCTTCAATGGTAACATAATAATAATCAGTTTGCAGGAAAAGTGAATTCATTACTTGGTCCATCACTGAAGATATTCATAACAATGGCAAGATAAGCTCAGAAAAAAATACTCTAACCACTCATCTTTATTAATTACAAAAAGATGCCTTTTTGGAAGTTGGAATAATTAATTAACCATTTCTCGAAGGTTTACATTTGCTGAATCATAATTGAACACATGAAATAGATTGGCAAAAAATGAATCTTTTTTTCACCCAAAAGTTGAATTTGATTCTCAATTTTAACCCTCCAATTGAGTCAGACAAGGTTATTAATTGATTAATTAAATTAGCTGATAGAAAGGATTCAAGTGTTGAAATCAATAAAATGTAAAGTGTAAGATATTCATTAAACTAAAAGGTATTATTTGATATCAAAGATGATTTCAAGGGTTGCTGCGTTGTTTGAGGTGAAAAGGATTGAAGCTAAACAAAGATGAATCTGTCAAGATGAATAAAAAATGTGTTACAGTGAAAAATTGGTCCAATTGAAGGGAAAAATGTAAAGAATGCAAATAAAATGGTTAAACTTTTGCCTTTTTATCGTTGTTAATATAAACAATTGATGATAAATTAAGTTGCATGTTTATTGTTGAAAGATTGCCAAAAAAAGGGTTCAAAAAAATAACAAAATTTTAAAGCAAACAAGAAATTGAAAATCTGGTGAACAACAACAACAACAACAAGAAAATGTTGATCCATTTATGATTATAATGATGACAGGAAAACATTATCAACTTTAATAACCATTTTCACCAGTTTCATGATCAATTATTCATTAGCTAATTGCTATTAATAGATGAGCAAAAAATTTTGATTCTACTTTAGCTCAATGATTATATTAAGTTGCAATATAATAATATGGAAACTTGAAACTTTCACAAGATTATCACAATCAACAATTCAACAATTTTGACAGCTCCAATTGATTGATAAGGTTTGTTAAATATTCATATCGCAAAAAAGCTACAATTAGTTGGTGCAATCAAAAATCCTGCGATCTTAACTCTAGATTCAAATATTTTGGAGGCTTTTTTAACTACTCAGGGACTTTAGGGATCTTTTCAAGATTTAATTTGTAATTTCAATGCATAAATAATGATAAAAAAAAGATTGAAAATGTTACTGGTAATTATTGAAACACCAGATAATCAAGTAATGAGTGAAGCTAAATTTATTGACCATTGAGAGTTGAACTGTTGCCGTTGACAGTTTCAGTGTGTGATTTGATAATGATTAAGTCAAGATAAACCTTGTAAATTAATCAATCTTGGATTTGTAATCCAAGTAAGCAACAATAAAAAATATAAATCTAGAAGGGATCAAAGCAAAGCATCAGTCATATGTTTTAAAAATAAACATAGTAATGTTGAAGTAATATTACGTGTAAACAGTGATATTATGAGGCAAAAAAGACTAAATTTAGAGAAGATTTGAAAATGGTAAAAACAATGAAAACAAATGAAAGATAATTGTAAATCGAGTGATTAAATAGATCAACAATAAACTCTAGTTACTGGTAAGAATCATAACGGTAGAGGTTAGTGTAATACTCTGTTGTTGTAGTTTGGTTTGGTCATTTTGTATTCTTTCCTGATTTGGTTTATACATCTAATTGGTTAATTTTAACAATTGTAATTACCTTGAGATGCTTTTGATTGCATCAGTTAAACTTGGTGATAAACCAAATTGAATATTTTGTACAAGAACCTTCTCAAACGATTTACATGCTTCACGTTGCTCCATTGCCAAAGCATCTTGTTGTTTACCAAATTTAGGTCTGATGAAAGGACTAATTTTTAAATGTAAACAAATGGAAATAAATTATTGATCAATGGTTAGGATAGGATTAATTTGGATTAATTAAGGGTTAAAGGGTGGCTTTAACTATAACTTACCTTGTTTGTCGCCAAAGAAAGGTTTGTATTGGTAAAGGAATGGATTCCTTCTCTTCTTCAGCTTCATTATTTCGCCTTTTGGTCATTTTAGGTATTCACATAATCAATTGATTTTCATCACAAATCCATCAATTGTGAATTTTCGTTGCAATCATCCACTTCAACATCTTATTTTAAGGTAAACCAACTTAAGCTGAACACAATTAAAATGGTTTATTTTTTAAATTTTCAGAGAGACTCAAATTAAATCACATCCTAATAAACCTTCCCAGTAAAACCATCAGTTGATAAAAACAACTCCATGCCAGTTACTCCATCTACTGTTATTCAGTTAATTTATGGAACTTGAAAAGGAAGCAGATATTTTTGAAACTTCACCATGAGCCATTCATTTAATCATTTGAATTGAATTGTTGTTAGAAATTAAATAACCAACAGAGGATTTTTGTCATTCAAGTTTTTTCATTGATTTATTATTGGCAATATTTTAATTTTTGGTCAAATTAGTTGGGAAAGGAATCAATTGAGTAAATCATATTTGAGGATTTTTGTTTAAAACATTTGAATATTGATATTTAGTTCAAATAATTAGTTGATTGATAAGATTAGCGAGATCAAATTGTAAAAAAAGAAATTTACAGTACAGTTAAATTAAAACAAAGATTGTTTAGTTAGTCGATTTCAATCCGTGAAGCAAGTTAAATGGTTTTGTGGTCAAAATCTGGAGGACTGAGTATAAATGAACGAAACTTCCAGTTTTCGAATCAATATTGAGTTTTAGCACCAAAAGCATAAATACATTGGTCATGATAAATTTTCGCAATATGTTTTCACCGTTGCCATTATGATTTGCGAAGTTTTTTTATTTTCGTTTAAATACTATCTGCTGTGGGTGTTAATTGAATAACTTTTGACCATTCTTCTAGAGGCCACCGACCATTAGGATGAACATTAGACGGACTTGATTTCCAATCCCATTTTTCGATAGGAATAGACCAGTTGGAACCATAATTAGCCTCAATATAAACTTCAGTATCACATGGAACTCTAACAAGCAGATCTAAAAATTCTGTCCAACATAAATTGAACTTGGGAAATATATATTTAAATTTGAGTCCAGTTTTGGCTTGAGTACCGCCATTCCATACATGACCAGTTTCAACGTAGAAGAAAAAAACATCCAATTTGATGTTACCATGGCGAAATGAAAGCTCATAACTATCTTCAAATTTTCCAAAAACATGAAGTAAAGGTAAATTGTTCATATAAAAGTGGTCAATCATTTCTGGTCTAAAATCTTTTATCCAAATGCCTATGTCAACATCGCCAGAATATGGAATCACATCACACTGACGAAACCAACCAAGAGCTGTACCACTGCTGAGCCAAAAAGGTATCCCAAGATCATCAAGGACCGTTTTAACAATAGTAAGTAATTTTTTCACATGAGTACGGTGTGGTTCGAGTTGTTCATTTCGAAAAAGGTTAGACCCATGAGTCGCATAAAATTTTTTAGCTTGACTTTTGTTACATTCGATAAATGGCATATCTTGGACTGGCCGATAAAAGGTTTGTGGTTGTTTTGGTAGTCCTAGTACCAAACCATCAATGACGGTATTGATAATCTCTACTTTATCATAAATTACAGCATGATCTGAATTTACGAAGTCAGCTTTGCGGGCTCCTTGTCTCAGCATCAATCGCTTCTCATAATCGGTAGGTGAAAAAGCTGACGACCACCAATATTTATTAAGGCGTTCATATAAAATGGCAACATGAGTGACATGACTTTTCTTCTGTTTGGCACCTTCTTTGAATATAATTAAATGTAACGGAATCGTCACTTTCAACTCATGATGAAGTAGAGTTGGATCCAAATCGATGAATTGCAGTACAACATAACCTTCCTGTTGTAATGCTTGTACAAGCTTAGCTATCTTTCGATGGTCAATAAATTCTCCAAGAGTTCCAAGGTGTGTAACATCTTGATTATTACACATGAACAAGCAGTAATTTTGATCAATTTGGTGTGGTGATATAGACATTGAAGAAGATGACAACGATGTTGACTTCTTATCAAATATTCTTTTGCATAGTTTACCATCGATGAGGAACAAAGGTATTCCATAATTAACAGCAAGGGAGGTTACCTTATGCAATGATTCCTAAAGCCATTAAGATGATTGAAAAATAAGTTGTAAATATCAACGTAAGAAAGATATTAATGTATCGTTTTAATTCAAGCTTACCCAGATATGGTTAATCACAATTTGGTTCTATTGAGAGATGAAGGAAAGATTAAGAAAATTAGATGATTGAGAGCATAAAATAGTGCAAAAATAAAGCTTACCTTACTAACAACTGATTGTAAGACGATAAGTTGTACTAACAATAGAAAAACGCTTAAAATAATGATTATAAGAATTAAATGAGACTTGATCATCATATAGAGAAGCAGTCTCTGGTGAAAAACTTATCATCGGAGCACGCATCTAAAATAGCATAATTCAAACTAGATTTAGATTTTGATTATGGTTGCAAATGAATATACTACCACTTGATTGTAAATCACAATAATTAAATTAGGTTTGGCGAGAAAGTTAAAAGAACACACAAATTGAACTTATGGCACAAGAATAATTCCATGAATAGTCGTTTGATTTACTGGAATGAACTTCACGATAAATAGATTTGATTAATTATTAGAACATTCAATAATTAAATAAAATTATACAAAAAACAAATTATAAACATTTCTGATTCACTTGATAATAATCTCAATTGAAAAGCCATGTCTTAACAATGAAGCTTTCACAACTTCAAACCGGCAAACAGCTGATGAGCTTCTCTTGTTTCTATGTGTCACCAAGGAGCAAAGAAACTATTCTTTAGGTCGATGAAACTTGAAATGCAAAACTATTGTATTTTTAAGATAATTCATGATTAATATCTTTCTTAGGTATTGTAGATGAATTATGTCTCTTTTAACAGACAACAACGATTTAGATTTTGATCCATATCAGATCGATTCTATTGATAATTATTGATTTTCTTGTTTAAAAACCAAAAACTAAGCTTTGAGTAGAAAGCGATCTAAAAAATAGCGTTAGTCGACAATTTTTGATTAAAATTTGAAAGAAAATTAGTAATTTCAAACATTTTCAGGTACTTGACTGTAATAGCTGTTTATTAAAAAGTCATTTTCTTTGAAACAAAAAATTGTTGCGAGGGCAAAATTTAAATTTAACATTCATAATGAAATTGAAAAAGCTACATTTTGTAAAATATAGCGTGATAAAGTTGCAAGACATAGAAAGTTTGAATTAAGATCCAGCTCAAATTGATTCACTCAAAACAGAGCGTGAACATAGGTTGGACATATTAATAGAAAGAGAAAGGGACAAACAAAAATGTACAAATAAATTAATAAACCATAGCCCAAAAAATTGTTGGTGATAATCATCTGAACTAAATTTTCTGAACCAGACGGAAATCAGAAAATTTATCATGAACGCAGCATCTTTGGAGTTCTGGATGACTTGACTTGACATCAATTAATTGTTCATATCTTTCAAAATTCTCTTTTTTCTCTTTGGTTAGCAACTGATTGATGAATGCGATTGGGTGTAGGAAACAAGATGGCGTGTAGAAACCATCAAAACACAAAAGAAAATTAACCATGACTATTCTTTGATTTATAAATTAAATAAGCCAACACTTTTCTGGTCTTCATAATGATTTCCAGGTTTTGTTAGTCAAAATAGCCACGAAAGGATTGTAACTGGAGTCTGTTAGATGGTCAAATGATCTCCATTTGAAGGATTCTTTAAGAATGCATCAAGCAGGCTAAGTAATCCTCTCAAGATTGTACCTTGTTGAATTTCAAAACATCGGACATCCTTTCATCAGCTATTTTGTTTCAGTGGTATCTGGAGCTGTCCATTTAACACTGTAATTTGCTAATTTCCAGTTCTTGAATCTTTCAGGTTTAACGAGTAGATGACTGTGTCAATGTGGCAATTTGCAATCAGCAGAAGATAATTATGAGAAAAGTTGGTAGGATAGAGCAGAATTTTGCGAAGATGTGACAATGAAGTGATGAAGAAAATTAACAATAGCCTTTTTCACTCTGAAGAGGCATTAATAATATGATGAAGACGAGCATGGAAGGTTATGAGATTTGATCGGCTCAATTTTTTCTCAAAAATGGCAAAATTTGATTTCAATTAACTTGTTAGCAGAGAAGTTAATTGTCCTATACTTTGTCTATAAGAAAAGATGAGTCTTGATTGAAAGTTATATGGATGAGCAGATCGTCAGCTTGAAAAAAGAGTTGTAGAAAACAATGTTAATAAGAAAAATTAATCTCACTCAATTTTGATTCATTGAAAACACCAGAACGAAATTATATTATATTCTATGTCAATCTAAATCTCCATTTTTATAGGTTTTGTTTGCTTTTAAAGGCTTAAGAGAGAAACAGTTAATTTTGAAATGTTTACACATTTGCCGCATCACACAAACTCCATAATGAATGTGGGCAAAAGTGATGCATAATGCAAAAATTCGCAGAATTTGAATTTCATACGCTTGCAAGAGTTCCATTTTAAAAACACCAGTGACAATCAATGTTAACGGGAGTAGAAACCAATTGAATCCTTCACATCGAGTTGATGACATTTGACTAACAATCAGTCGGCACTAAAAAATGGTGAAAAAAAAAGATTAGTTAATGTGAAATTCAAGAATGTTTTTATTATTCGAAAGATTAGCATTGAGTTGATGACGTATTATGCCACGCCGATTATGATTATTCATCAATACTTTGATGAAACATCTCTTCAAACATGAGAAGAATGAGCAAAAAATGAGATTTGATTACTATACTTGATTATAAGATTAAAGGATTAAAGCAACTACTATAATACAATGTAAGAATATAATAATTTTGACAACTCAGCAGCAAACATCTGGAGAAACTTTGTCATGAATTTCGATCACTTTCTTCAAAAATCGAAAACTAATCCATAAAATTTGATAAATTGCCAACTTTACCTAAAACCATTTCCATTAAAGAAATTGAAGATAAAAATGGTTCATTATGACGTGATAATTCGAATGGATTGCTAGTTCATTCTCAAAGAATGATTATTTTCCACGAAACATAACTAATCATTATTCCTATGAATTTTGCTAACTTGATTGAATCATAACTAAACAATCAGTCTCTAAAAGTATAGTAAAAATATGGTATTTTTTGATGCAACGTTTTATAGATGATGATTAAGACAAATATTAATGCAATAGTAGAACACTTTTCTGTGAAGAAAGTCATAAAATGCATGCAAAGTGAACGATAAGTTTCTGTACGCTCAATGCTTATCCTTGAAATGTAGAAAAAGAAAAATATGATACTTTACACAAATATTTGAGAATAACGTGCCAACCATAAAATAAAACATCCTTGGATCAGTTTCAATTACATTAGTAGGAGAATAGGCAGCCCAAAAAGTTGTGAAACAAAAGAGAATGGCCAACGAAATCAATGGCCTGAAAGATTCCCAAAGGTTGGGTTGTTTCAATGTTTTGTTCTTATAACCTATGTAAACATTGAATATAGTTATTGGAACAGAGAAACCAAAAGCCATGACTGCAAAACAAAGAAAAACAAACATTAGGTAATAAAGCTAAAAATATCCATTCAATCATTAAAGTCTTAAAATGATTTTGAGAAGTTAAAACCAATATATGAATAATATGGAATTGAACTCAAACGAACACTTTCAACTTACCGTGTGTGACTATTTCAAATATCTGTCCGCATGTTAAATTAATGTAAGGTATGGAAATCTTCCAAATTACATTAGAGTAGCAAAAACTCACAATGTAAAGAATGAATAAAATTAATTGACTCGAATCATAACTCCAGGGTAAATAAAGTATACCAGTATTATACTTTTCCCAATGAGAGAGGTAAAATGTTATGAAAACAGCCCAAAAGATGAAAAGAACACGGAATGGAGAATAACTATAGTCTGCGCGCCCAAACATTGAATAAATGCAAAAAGGAACGAACAATGCTGTCCAACTATCCACTCCATGATCCATTAATTCACCTGTTGGACCACTTGATTTTGTTCTACGAGCTTGTTTACCATCAATACCATCAAGAGTGTGAGCAAGAAAATGATTAATGGCACAGACCAGCCAAACCCAAAGAGGTATTTCTGTGGATCCAGATGATGAGGCATAAAAATAATAGTCATAATAGGATAACAAAACAGCATTTGATACAGTTAAAAGAAATCCGACAAATGTCAGGATGTTCGGAGCTATCCAGCAAGGCACAAGCTTGACAACTTGATTCCAAAAGGGATGCATGATGTAATTACTCAAAGGACTAGTATCTACGGAACTATATTTATATTTATCGAAACCTTTCATTTGTTCCTCAGACAAGTATTTATAATCGAAGAGACTCATCTTGAAAAAATTAAATTTTGATCACAGTAATTTAAAACAATTCAACACAGTTAATAAGGAAAAAATACACAATTAATGAAACACCGAAAAATTCATTAGATAATTCATAAGAAAAACACATGACCAAGACTTCAACACCTTCTATGAGATTATCCTGATACTAAAACGCCGTCACAAAGGCTGACAGCAACGCCATCTACAGGAATAAACATTAACTTCAGATAACTCAACCTAAGGATTTACTGTTAAGTCTTGACAGTTTTCATTTTTCAATTAATCTAAATCAAACTCAAATAATTCAAAAGCAGCTTAATTATTTCGGTTTGAAACCTTCCATTCCTTTCTCACATATTTCACACACTTGTGTAACTAAAATTACAATCGAGTATTTTTTATTAGTATTTTACGATTCCCTGCACAGAACTTTTCTTTTATGTTGTAAAATATTAACCAATTGGTTAACCTGTAGGTGTTATTGACAACAGGCATTTGATTAAATTGTAACTATGTTTGACAAAGTGATTAGATCAAAATCTTGATTGAATGTAGTTTATTATCAAATTAATGAACAAAATTTATCACAACTATACAAAGGTTTAACAAATAAAATGAATTAGATGAGTGTCATTTTAAGAGTAACATAATTTACAAAAGAAAAATAATTAGAAAGTATCCACAGCTTAAATTTATACATTCTTAATAATATCACAATGCTTTCGACTAGAAGAGAGGATTGATTAACAATAGATTATTCAATAGTTGAATATGCTGGTTCATCTTCTGAACTCGGAGTAGCTATTATATCAACTGGTTGTTTGTCAGATGAAACATCAAGATCAGCGAAGATGACATCCAACGTTTGTTTTCTGGTCAATTTTTGTTTGGGAGGAAAAAATTTAACCTCATCACATTTTTTCAACGTCTCATAATGATGCTGATCAACAACTGCCTTTGATCGGCTATTAACATCTTTATTGATAATTATCCTGGAACTTTCTTCCCCATTGACGTCTTCCTCAATATCTTCAAACTCTCCTAGGTCAAAATCGCGTTCAGTTTTGCTGCGAAAACCACTAACAGTTGAACCTTTCTTCAGTGGAGACCAAAATTTTTGAATTATTTTGGATAATCTTGAAACAGTTGAAACACCAGATGAAGTTCTTGATCCAATTGAAGCTAGTTTATCGATTTCACAGCGAGGTAAATTATCAGGTATAACTCCTGATTCAAATAAGGATTTTCTTGCTTTACGGTAGCAAGGAAGTGTTGGTTGATGGTGATCTTCTTTGGTTATAATGTCATGAGCCAATTTAATTTGTCGTCGCCAAGAATCAGCTTCAGCATCACAATAGCCAATTCTTTGGATAACCAATTCTGGAATTTTTCGACTACTTAAAGTTCCATTTCTTTCAACAAATGTTCGGAAAAAAGAAAAGCCCGAGTCTAGATCAAATTCAAGAAGAACCGGTTTATCTTCTGTTTTGATATTTGATCTATTTCCTCTCCAGGTCCTTCTAATTGATGATAAAGCACTTGATCGATCAGGATTACTATTAATTGTTGTTTGGGGTCGTAAAGTACAGCCAAGAATAACATCTCGAACCTACAATAACAATAATAGAGAGAAAAAACCAGCGATTAATAAATGTTATCACAACTAAGATATCTCACTAAATATTTCAATTAGTGAAAGTGAAAAAAAGTGAACAAGAAAGTAATTGAATGGTTTAACGGAAAATAAAATTAATTGATTTGTGAAGCAATCTGTGCAATTTGAGATCAAATTTTTTCTCATAATATTGCGTTATCAAACAAAAAAGATTAACTCAGCTCAATTAAGCATTTCTCAATTACACTATTGTTCAATTTATAGTCATTACAAATATTGAATCATTTAGTAGACAGTTTTTTTGATTCTTGTTCCGCAGCTTACCCGAATCTCTTCCAAACGAAGCACAGCACTGAAATTGGTCGGTAAATTTGCTTGGAAGATATCACAATTAGGATAATTTCGAGGCCTGGGTCCAGTTACTAATTGAACTGTTACAGGAAGCTTGACTAACCGTAAAAGCTGAGAGAATGAGTAAACATGATTGTAGCTCAGTTCATTTGAGCGTTTTGCCATAACATAAAATCTACAAGAAGTAAAAGAAACAAAAACAAGTAATTAGTTGCATTATATTTTGTAATAATGTAATAATACCAAAACATCAAGGCCAAGAAGATAATTAATGATGAACACATTAAAGACACAGATTGTTGTTCACTGATTGAGCTATTCAATGCAATGAATAATTCTGCTCAAGTCTTGTTCGTAGGATAAAAATAGCTAAAAGTGTAATTTGTTGAGCTTCATCACTCGGACTGGACAAGTTGTATTTAATGTGTTACAAACATAAACCTGAATCCCAATTAACGTAGAAACGTGGGCAGAACATTCAATGCAAAGTGTCAATTAATTCATTGTCACTATCAACTTAAATTGTTGGTTCAACTTAAAAAAATTTTCAGAAAAAAAAGATATAAGCTAATTAGTACGGAATTTAAAATGAAACAATTAATTATGCAAAGCAAATGATTTGTATTAACATATTTTTGAGCACAACAATTTAATCAGTCAAGAGTCATTGATAAGATTCACAATGATGCCAATTAAATGTATAACAATGATGGCTGGAATCGTATGTGAAACTGTTATAGATATGTTCAATTCAATGATCATAACAATCATCAAATTTGATCAATTGTAATCAAAATTTTACAGGTAACAATAAGATTTTACGCTTTCATTTTGTCTTCAAATCTAATCAATTCCAAGGAACCTTTTATATAAGTTGAATGATCAGACTATTGATGATAATTGTGACCATTGAAGCTTGAAATTTTACTTTTCATTTCAGAGTTAGATTGATAAATCGGTTGATGAGCCGTGAGAAGATGTCAATTAACCAAAAGTACAAGTAAGATATGCCAATGAGTTGTTAGCTTGATCACCATCACTATCATCATCATCATTAGTTGCACTTTTTTTTAATATCAATAGTTAAGAAAATGTCATTAAACCAGTTTGAATGGATGAATCTAACCCCAATGGTTTTAACGAATTAAAAGTAATCTTTTTTTGGCTTTTTCAACCTTTTTTAATGATACTAAAATGGCCACAAAAAAGGTAAATATTAGTTGGGTTTGAATAATCTGATTAACATATTTATCTCCATCATCTTATCTTAACATTTTCATTATTTTGCATAAAGACAGACACATCTAAACTGTAATACTCAAAAAACCAGAATATTGAAAAGATAACCTAATTTTGCAATCTGAGAAATTATCAATTACAATGTTAACCTGGTTTCACTCTCGTAAAAATGATTTCAGGATAATCTGTTAATGTCACTTCGGGTTCCTCCTTTGAACCAAGAAACTGTAATTATTAGCAAATTATCATATAAACTTTCAACCATTATCAGGTATAAATAAGGCTCATCCATTATCAACAATCAATACCATTCAAGCGCATAATAGAGGAATCTATTAATTAATAAGTGAGGCCTTGTTGTCAAGATATATTGAGATACCAGGAAATTAGCATTTCTGCTCACCTTCCAGTTTCAGTGATTGGTACAAATACAATTTCTCCACCAGGAACATTGCCGAATCTAATACATTTAGCATATCTTGGACCATGTTCTAACGGTGTTGGTACATTCTTTTTGAATCGCAGTGAGCTTTTAGGTTTACCATTGGTCAGTATAAAGGCACTTATATCTTCATAAACGCCAACAAAACGCAAAACAGTTCCTCCTTCAATGGTAATTGGCTCATAATTTGAGTTACCTTTAACAGTAATTAGTGAGGTAACTCGAGTCGGTGTTTCCGCCAATACAGCAAATCGTGGTGCTTTATAACCTCTAATAGCATCTCGTGTTAAGAAGTAAGGAACATGGGCTCGACCAACTTCATCGATACTGTTAAAATAACCGGCTGTATGACCTTTACCATTAACCAAAGAGAACCAACCTGAAAGATAATTAACAGAAGCAAATTAGTTTTAGGTCAATGTCATTGATGCTAATTAAAACGTTAATTAAATTTTTAAACACACACAAACATAAGTACAAGCTTTGTATTTATAAAAGGTAAAACATACACTAGTACATTAAACTTGAAAATTTTCACACCGTTACATACATTTACAGGCAATTTTTGTCAATACCAAAACAACTTTTCTCAGTGAAAGCTAAAAAACAAGATGATTCAATGGTTCCATTACAGTGAAGATACGTCCGAGTACACACAATTTACAATAATAGTAATTAAAGTCATAATTGTTCGTATAAAATGAAATCAAAAACATTTAATTAAACACAAAGAAAATACTAACAATAATAAAAAGTGAAAAGGTAACATTTGTTTAGCGCCAAATGAGAGATCAAAGAAAGGGGTTAATTAAAAAATTTAGAAATGCAAGTAAACAAGTGACTCCATCTTTAGAATTGAAAAACTAAATAAATTACATTGGATAAATTGAAAATAATGACCAATTAACTTGATTTCCTCTTATTACAGAATCCTTTGTATAACTGTTAAATTGTTTCAATAATGCTTTTTCAACTTTAAATCTGATATTGTAATGACTGTAATCATCAAAGAAACTATTACCGGAACAATTAGAATCAATTGCAAATGGTAAAAAAAGAAAAGATAAAATCAGAGGAAAAACAATATTCTTGTTCTGATACAATCACATCAATTTTGAGCATTTCATGAAAAACACTGAATATTTAAAAGAAATGGAAAACCAGAAATAAACTGAAAAATTTACCAAATTGTAGACAATATAAAAGGAAACCAGAAAATGGGGTAAAACAATTTGATTGTTATCATCATAAATAATGTTAACAATGTTACTGAATGGTTAAGAGATAATCACAATCAGAAAAGAGTACAAATTAAATTAATAGACTTGGCTAAATATGTATTACATTGTTGTCCTCAACATCAACACTTTCAGTGAAACAGGTATCATATATTATCATTTAGTTCCGTTTAATAGTTGATTGTTACCATTATTATTTAATATTTCCTCTTCAAATCAACCATTTAATTGTGAATAGAGATGATTATTATCAAGTTAATCATTCAAATTAAATGTGAATAAAACGTTTCATTGTATATAATTGAATTGGTATGAAAAATGAATGAAAGTAAACAAGAAAAAGCGACAATATTTCAGCTGAAAATTGACTTAATTGTTGTCCATTAAGAAGCTCAACTAAATTTACCAAAAGCTCAATTTAATCACTAAAGATGTTTGCCAATTAACTGCACACCATTAGATGATTAACAAGGAAAAACAATTCAATTAATTGCATTCAAATCTATTTATAATTAGCATTGAACTTTGATTTGAACAAAACAAATCTAAAATGAAAATAATTTTATATCAACAAAGTCAATTGAAGCTCATTTCACTTGCAAACCATTTCAAACAATTAAACATCGTGATCAAGAATTAGTTAATCACAAATTGATTGTGATTATTAACTGGACCATCAATATTGATTCAAACCAAACTAAACCTTAAATCAATGAAAACCAAATTTACTTCTTTACACTCAAGCGATTAAGGTTACATTAAAATATGATAATATTGAAATGGCTGATTAACATAACAATTAACATTGAAATTCACATCAAAATTAACAGTAAAATTGAATACAATTAAATGGTATTTAAAAGAAGGAAAAATATTGACATTTAAGCAAATTTTGCTCCTTTTCAGGTCATTTTGTTTTCAGCTTATGATTATAACGCTTGTAGTCAATAATGATTACCTTTGATCATTGACCATTAATGAATTTAAACTTGAATCAAAATTGATACTTTTTCGTCTGATTAAGCTTGTTAATAATAAGGTTTGATTGATAATCAACAATTGAAATTGAAGGTAAAGAATTGTATTTGTTAATAAGAGTATAATAACAATGACAATGAGACACTATTAAAATGATAATCAAGAATCAAGGTTTCCATCAACCTGACCCTTTCATCTGATTACAATATTTTTAACCACAAAACACATTAAACCATTCAAAGTGATCATAAATTATGTACTTTGCTAATGATTGAGGGAATCATCAAATTGAAGAGAAACAAAATTCAATTGTATTTTACCTTCAAGCCTTCAATTGATCAAATTAAAGTTAATTGATTGTGAAAATCAAATTGAAGCTTCCATCAAATAATAATCATTGAATAGTCTTTTAAACAGAGTAATTTACAGTTAATCAAGGCGACAATTCCTCAATCATTTAAGACGATCAGATACATTTTTATCCAAATCATTATGACGAGTCAATTTGGTAAATTGTTGATCACTTTTGCCTCATTAATCTAGCCAATTGATTCACCTAAATTGTCATAACTAAATTGCTTATAATTAGGATTAAATAAAGCAACAAATTATGGACATTAAAATGCAATGATTCAACAATTATTTAACCTAAAATAAGTCGATTGAAAATGCAAAATTTACTTTGCACCAAAATTGTGTGATTAAGTGATTAAATAATATTCATAATTAATGCCAATCCAAGTAGATTAATTAATGGATCAAATGGAAACCCGGAAACAATTTGAATCACTTTTGTATCAATTTAAATAAACAACCAATCAGTTGGATTGCGTTTGGTTATTGATCATAATTTAAGCTTCATCATTAATCTCAATTTACTTTTAACCAACAATCATTAGACTTGAATTGACAATTTAAACTACAGTTGGTCATTGAAATTCAATAGCTGTTAATAAACAACTAATTGTTCCAAATGAGTAGATTAGTAAATTAATCAGTAAAAGCTTAACATTTGCCAAACAAATTTACATTCAACTGATCATTTAACATTAGTTTAACATGGCGTTAATTGTAAACAAAGCTAAACAGTTCAAGTTAATAACTCAATTAGTGATTAAAGTAAAATGGTTAAAATTGATTGAGTTCAACTGTTTGGCTGTAAATCAAAATTTTACACATTGACTGTTATTGGGCAAATCTTATCCAAAAGCTAATAAGTTACCAGTTTTTGGGTTCATTTGGAAACCCAAAAAACCAAGGTTGAACCATTAGGTCGATAGGTTGATTAAATTGTAATCATTACATTTAATTTTGTTTTACCTTTAAAAGATTTCGTCAATTAATGTTGAAAGTTAAACCACACCAAAAAAGCCACAAAAATTTAAGGTGTGATTCAGGTTGTTTCATATTGATTACAATTTATCAACAAAACCATATTTAAACAAATACAAAAACCCAAAATTTGCTTCTTTCAGCCAATTTAACCATTCAATAGTGATTATAAACATTTAATGGTAATGAACAGCATTTAAATGAATCTCAATTGCAAGGTTAAATTGGTTGGTTAAAATTGATTGATTTCAGTGATCATCACTAAATTGTCTATTACAGCTCAACTTGCCGTGATTTACAGTCTTGTCACTTCATTTACAATTTACAGCAACAACAGTATTTACATAATTAAATTAGCAAATAAATTAATAAAAAATAGGAATTGGTTAAGTTGATTAAAGGACGTGTTCACTGGTATTGGTACTAAAATGGTTGTAACACTCAAATGTGCCGCTGAAAGCACTTTTTTGCTTAACATTAACATAACTTGGTTGTAATCAGTTTCAAATAACAAACCAAACACAATGTTAATGGTTAATATTAATAGTTTACCAATACAAATAACGATAATCAACGTTTCCGTGATCATTCTCATAATAATGTGAACATGGTAAAATCACGAGGATATTATTAGCACTTTAATAACACTCCATCGTGATTATTTGATTCAGAAATCATCATTTCACAATAAATGTATCAGAAACCAAACACATTGATTGAAATGGTAAATTGTTGACTGAGCTGCTTAATAATGGATACAACAGTCATCATTCCCATCGAGTTAATTGTTGAATTGTTGCCGTTGACAATGTTAATGTTGGACAATTTAATTGATGACAATCAACATCTCAAATTTAGGTTAAAAGAGTAGCTTAAAGACAGTCCAATGTTTGGATATGAGACGGTTTGAGGCTTGAAGCAAGATCCAAATTAATCAATCTCAACTAATGAATTTATTATGTTAACGGCAACATGGACAATAACGAGTCTTTCATCTTCTTAATCATCATCTTGATCGCTTTTCTTCCTGGTTAATCTTTCAAAGAGAACAGACAATCACGATTAATTCAACAACAACAGCAAATTGATATTGGAAAACCAATAAATGGTTAGTTTATCCGATTGCGCCATTTTTAAATTAGATGTATTCATTTACATCAATAAATCACAATAACTGGGACCAGGAATCGAGAGTTTGGTGAATGGAGATGAACCCAAAAACGGGTAAATTGTTGGATCTGTTATTTGGACGATAACCATCAATACAGGTTTAAGATATGCTTGTGTTAGTGTTCAACTTTTACCTGGTGATAATGGGAAAGGATTACAGGAAAAGGAAATTAAAAGTGAAATTAAATGAGATAAGGTTAATTAATTTCTACTCGATGATTATTCTAAAAACAAGGTTTAATTCAACAGATTAATAGTAGTATTTTTGATTGATGTGTGAATTAAGTCTTCTTTTCACTTTGTTTATCATCACGTACATTTGATTGACTCAAGATAATCATTTTTTTAGTGTTGTAAAAACATCAGATTCATCATGATTCATGATAATCTGCAAGGAATGATGAAATGCCTCAATTTACAACAGCTCCAGATAGAGACATTTATTTGACTAAATTGAGTTTTCATTATTTCATGTAAATTAGTAATCTAAATGATCAACTAGCCAAACTCATTTTCATATAAATGTTTCTATTTTAATGTCATTTTAAAGCACATTAATGCATTAACAGCAAACATAACGAGCAACTCATACTCAAGACAAAGTGAAATTTTACCAAAACATTTTAATAAGTTGTGATGAAGGCAATAATCATTTTGCTCAAAGCAAACTCACTTTAATGAGTCAATCATCTGAAATGATAGTTTACCAACTCAAATCACTCTTAACAATTATAAAATGGGTAAAATTGAAATTGTCAAAAGAGTTAATCAATTAACTGAAGTGTCAAGTGAAAGTTGCAATGGTTAACGTTTCTTGTCTAACAAGCAAAAAATGTGCTTCTCAGCTTACAGATTAGTGTTGTGCTCGATCAATTCGATCATCGATTTAATCGATAATCGCTTGCTATTTTTGTGATCGATGATCAACATGGAAAATCGAAAATCGAAAAAGAGCATGGTTACCATAAGAATCATAGCTTAAGGTAAAAATAAAGATTTCTAGTCTGTTTTTTTCTGTTTTTGTTCAATTTTTAACGTTTTTTTTAAACTGACTCATGTCTCGGAGTCCATACTGGCAATATTTTAGTGGTTTTGGCAATGAAGTAGCCAAGTGTAAAATATGTGATGTTTCAGTGAAAACATGTGGAAATACCACCAATATTGCTCGTCATCTAAGGGAACACCATCCAACTATTTTCAGTGATTTAAAAAATGGAAATAAATGTAGTGACCCAAAACAACCTAAAATAAGTCAATCTCTTGATGCTATTAAATCATTAAATGGTAAGTTTTTTAAAATGTGTTACATTGGTTTAACATTGTTTTTCTTTTCTTTCTAGGCGGTGATCTGAAAAAAACCTGTGATACAAAGATTGTTTGGTGGCTGGTAAAAAATTATTTACCATTTAATACTGTTGAATCTCAATATTTTAAAGATTTTTTGTTATGTTTAAATAAAAATTATAAGCCACCAGGAAGGAAGACAATAATGTCACTCATTCAAGAGCTTGGTGTAAATAAAAAGGAGCTATTGAGACAACATTTTAAAACTATAAAATGGTTTTGCCTAACTGGTGATTCTTGGAAGGATATATTGAACCAAAAATCGTATCTTGGTTTGACAATTCACTTTTTGGATAATTACCAACCCACTTCAATTTGCTTAAATGCAGACGAGTTTACTGGATCAATGACTGGGGATGCCATCTTTTACAAATTGAGCTCCATTTTAGATGATTGGGAGATACCAGTTGAAAAAATTGTTGGAATGACAACTGATGGAGGTGCAAATTTCATCAACGTTGCTAGTAGGTTTGGTCACAACATACATTGCGTTGCTCATCGTCTGAATTTAGTTGCAACAAATGCTATTGATAGTTTTGAAGAGCTAGTCAGTTTATTTAATTCAGTCAGGAAGATAGTCACTAATTTAAAACAGAGTTGTAAATTAATGAGTGATTTGAGAGATGAGCGAGTTAGTTCAGGTAAAGAAGATCTCAAGCCAATACAAGATGTTATAACTAGATGGAACTCTAGTTATTTAATGATTGAGAGGTATTTAGAACTGAGAATAGAAATATCTTATGTTTTACTCAAACATTCGAAAAGAGATGATGATTTGACTGACTCTCAGGTAAATATACTCCAAGAAATTGTTACGCTATTAAAGCCATTGTATGAAATGACTCTCGATATTTCTGGAGAGAAATACGTAACAATTTCTAGAGTAATTCCTTTAGTTGTCAGTGCTATCACTTATATTTCTACAATCAGAGTAGAAACTTCAATAGCCAAAAGATTTAAACTCAAGGTAATAGCCAATCTTAATGCAAGATTTGAGAATATTGAAAACAAAAAAGTTTTTGGCTTGGCAACTTTACTTGATCCGAGGTTCAAGAAGCTAGCTTTTCAATCAGAAACTTCAGCTTTAGCGAATCAAAGAGCCATTAATGCAATGTTGAGTGAAATTCCTACTACGCAAATATATCGATTAGAAGACTCAACTGAGAGCTCAAACTCAAGCGGAATATGGTCAATATATGACAAAAAAGTCAGAAACGTAAATGTCTCCGATGGAATGGATTCAGGCCTGCTACATTATCTAGAGTTACCTGTACTGGATAGATCTGAAGATCCGCTTGAGTTTTGGAGAAAAAATAAAGAGAATTGGCCTCAACTCCATAATTTGGCCATTAAATACTTAACTCTACAAGCTACTTCCGTCCCAAGTGAAAGGTTATTTTCAAAAACAGGAGATATAATAACTCAAAAAAGAAACAGAATTAAGCCCAAAAATGTTAATTTATTATGCTTTCTTGAATCTCTACCAAATTGTTACATTTGATACTTTTATATTGTGTTTTTCTATGCTTTGTTTACATTAAAAATCGATCGATTTAATCGATTTTTTGCGTTTTTAATCGAAAAAATCGATCAGCCTCAAAATCGAAAATCGCCCATCACTATTACAGATAAACTGGTCCACTATAGCTACACTTAAAGATATTTGATCATTCAACTATGAAAATAACAATTAATTTTGTTTTACTCACCAATTGATTTATCAATTTTAATCCAATTTAAAGTTGGTTTCATTAACTGGTTAAAGTGTATCAATAAAAACGAGAAATAAAACCATTACACTTGTTAAATAATTGTCGCCAAAAAATTGCGCCTAAATGCCATTTTGGACAGATTTGCGCAAACTCGGGTTTAACACGTGAATTTGACCGTTAAGTATCAAATGATTTGTTAGTGTGCTTTTTTAATTGTTTTAATCTAATTTAAACTTGATGAGCTACTACAATTAAGAGCTTTTACTTTCATATGTTGATGCTATCATGTTAAAGATTTCATTGTAAAGTTCATATTGATAGTCTAACAACATGAGAAGCCGCTATTCAACAATCGCATTGGAAACAGTTGCCAATATTGCAGACGTCTTTTGACTAATTTGAAAAAGTGTATTATCAATTTGTACCTGTCACTTTTGTTGCCTTTTTAATTTGTTAATTGGATTAGAAATGGATTACCAACTTAAATAGTGAATTCTTGGATCACAATCAAGTCTATTAACAAACAATTGAAATGGTAAAATCTGGCTGTTAGATAGAAGGGTCAACTCCTTTCACATCTCGCGAAACAGCAAAATTGTTTTGATTGAGATAACATCAATTGGCTCTTTTGCAACCCTGATGATATAAAGGTAATGATTAAGTTAACCATTCAATTGATCAAATTGAGCTTAAAGGATTTTGATTTATGTGAGAAGAAAAGGTAAAAGTCTGAAAAAAAGTGTTTTAAAAGAGAAACGGATTCAATTTCATATCAAACATTCTCAACACGAACAACACTTTTTTTTCATCTTCATTTTTTTAAAATGACGATTGATAAAAATACGTTTTAATAGCTTTTTTTCATTTCTTGGTCATTACCTGATCACTAAGATGACGGTGATAAAGATGAAAGGTAAAATCTCAAACCAAACCGGTCACCAGCAAGAAGATTCAATCTGGCTCTCTCTCATCTTCAGCACCATCTTAAAAGCCACTCATCCAGTCAAATCAACACAAAACATGGAAATCATGCTACTGAACAAAGTCATTCTAAAGGTGATTTCTCTTTCAGATAACCTAAATGAGTGTTAACTGTTGAATAGGAAGAAGATATAATAAGTTATGAGATGAACCTTAATAATTTGGCAAAAACCCTGATGAGATTCACGTTTAATTTAATTACCTGCATATTCATCAGAGTATCAACTCAATTGTTCTAGATTTAAGGTGAGTGTCAACAAGTTATGTCTTAACCATCAAAAAAATGAAGTGAAACAAATAAACATGAGACTAAAAAAAACCTTATTCAAATACAAGTACAGAACAAACAGCAATTATATCAAGTTAAATGATTTCATTGGAAAACTGAAAACTGTCTAATCAATAAAATCAGTAAAGCAGTAAACGTGTTGATGATTGATTGATATATAACATCAATCATCAACTGTTAAACTAATTGAAACATTGTAATCCCAACAAAAACCCCTCTTGTCATTCAAATAGCACAAATAGCAAGTAAAGTTAGCTCTATTGGTCAAATTTGATCAACATTTTTAGTGTTATGTGTCTATCATGTTTCCTTCATGACAATATTTACGCTTCCATACGATACAATTCAAATGTTAATGATGACGATAATGATTATTATTATTATTTAATGATCCATACAAAGGATCATAATCATTTACAGGAATACCAAGCCATTAAAGGATTGCAGTTCCTTTGCCAAATTTAAGCTCAACGACATCTTAACTGTTCACTTTGATGGTGTTATGCTGTTGATGTTGATCAAAAATGGATGTAAATTGATTTACAAAGTCTCATCAGGAAGTTAATCAATCTACTTTCATAGTAGAATCAATTTAACAGTTAACACATTGATCCGTAACAAATGCAATAACTAACCAATAATGTTCACATTGTGGAGTTCAATGTTATCCTGATTGTTCACCTTGATTTTTCCGAGAAAGTTATTCGAGAATGAAATGGAAGAGGTAAATCAAAATTAGAAACCCAAAATTATTGTAATTGTACAATAAATGTTTTTGTTAACCATTCTAATTGTGTTTTACATAAAGATGGAGTTAATCTTAATCATATTCAGTTTATGAGGTAAGCTTTATTCATATTTACTTTGTGCATCAAGGTTAATATTAATCATCTTTTCATTTCTCGTGATTTATTCACTTTCATTTCAAGGTAAAAATCAATGGCCTAACCATAAGAAGATATATTGGCATAAAGACATGGACGTTAATGGACAACACAAATACCTCAAACTGGACTTAAAGCAGGATTAACCTTTAATTAACCTTTTTCTTTAATAACACGTTATCAAGATAATGATGATGTTATTTATCCAAGGAATCAACTCCTTTATTTTTTCTAGTTTTCATTAGCTTTTGCTATTTATTGTTAACCATCATTAACATTCATAAGGCACGTTATTATAATTAGTGATTGAATAGATGTTAACCTGAAAAGAGAAAAGATTCAACTGAAATTATGTTTACTCGCCATGTCAATTAGTATTATCATTATGGCGGTGATTAAAGGTAAATTGGTGGATTCACAAATGAAGACCATATGATGATGTTGATTGCGCTGCTGTTTATCCTTCATGATTGTCCCAACATTATCAGAATCTGATTCAGGTCATTTTACCGAAAAAGAATATAATGATTCTGTTAAATTGATCATTTTTAATTCTCATTCTGATGTTGAAATCAAAGAGGATAATCGTGAGTTACATGTTTACCTGTAAATGAATAGGAGTAGGAAAAAAGTGATTCTTTGATCCGTTTTGATCAAGTGTATTTATGTGAGTGTGTATTTGATTAAAATGAAGGTAAAGGCATCATTTGAGGTAAATTGAATTCGGTGTTAAGTGAAAATTAAAGCTAACAATTAACCAAAGAGATCATCAAGTGACTCGAGGCCAAACAAATCATCTTAATTATTTGGAATCTCAGTTAATTAAGTTAGTAAAATTCAATTGAAAATAGCAAATCAATAGGAAAGGGAAAGAAAAAAGTCTCGATAAAGATTTCTCATCATCATTAAGAAACCCTTCTCTACCTGAGTTGCATTGAAAAATGTCTGTTTGTTTATTGACCTCTTTACATTTGATTGCTTTCAAATTAACAAATATTGAATCCTCAAACATCATCATTATCATCATTTTTGAGCTTCTTCACACAACTGAAAGGGAGATTCTGGATGATAATGATTATTTTAAAAACTGTTAACTCTTGCTTGCTTGTTGATAACTGGTTAAATAATACAATTCAATTCAATTTAATACAATTCAGGCAAGCACAAAAGTCACGATCAAATGTTTCAAGATTGACGTTTAATCAACACAATTAGTGGCTTTAAATATGTGCCTTTACCTCTCACCATCTTCACCCTCAGTCTAATTCAAAAAAGGTGATACAATCGTCACCTTAAACCATAATTTACCAACAATTATATTACTATTTGACTGGTTCATTACAGTAAAAATAATGTGATTGTGAGTAAATATGATTTTTTATATTGACAATAAATCAACGATCAAATTATGAGAAGTGATTTCATTGCAACAATCATTTCAATTACTTAGCTGTTAACAGTAATGGCTGTAAACAGAGGCTAGCTAATGTTATATGTAAGATGGGATTGTAATGGAAACCATTGAAGACATGATCGTTTATTGATTTATCAAGTTAATTAAGATGATTTAGAAGGAGAAGCCTCACACGATGATTTAATCCATCCATTAATCAGCTTTAATCCGAATGTTATTTTGAATAATATTGACATATTTGAAAAAGTAGTTTATAATTACAACTTTCATCTGTTAGTCTGTTTGTGTGTGGTTCAACAAATCGATACGTATTTAAATTAATAATATCCTTCAATAGGATATATTCAACTTAACATTGCAAAGATTGTAATTAAAATTAAATTGAACCAAAATTAAATGATTTTTTAACTCTTACCTCGATAACCTTCAGGAATCAACAAATTGGGTCCAACCTTTTTAAAATAATTTGAATCAAATGATGCATCAGGAGAAACAGTGTAACCAATAACTTGTCTACTTGTGTAAGCTTTATAAAGAAGGAAAGGTTGATCAAGATCAAGTTCATCACAATTAACTGTTGTAGATCCATTAATATCATTGGGCAGAACATTTTTAACGCCAGAAATAGTTTTAACACTTTTCTTGTTGACTCCAGGCGATGAGCTTGATAAATGTAACCCATTTAGGCCTAAATTTGCGCCATTGATTGTCAAAGCTTTCAGATGTTTGTTGTTACGATTAATGTTTTGTTTGGTTAATTTAATGTTGCTTTTATTATGATGCTGATGATTATTGTGATGATTGTTGTTTCGTTCACCTCTCATCATCATTGAACTGGGCATCAATTTTCGTCTCGATTGTCCAACACCAGAAGAATCTGAGCGATCCAAAGATTCACTCGTCATGGTTGAAGTACGAGAATCAGACGATTCTGAAGTTTCCATTGAGTTTAGGGTTGATCTAGGTTGCCTCAAGCTTGAACAGTCAGATGATAAAGTTGAATCCAAACTAACCCGATGAGCCTCATGGATACGAACCAGTTGAGGTAAACTGTAACGTGATAAAAACTCTCGAGGTGTCAAAGGTTCCTCCATTGTTGATCAGTCTTCTTTGAACAAATTGGTGAAGACTGTAACAGCTTTTTGTACCAATATATTGTTAGCTACCAGATATCAGCTCAAGATTGTTGATCACATTACCAGATGAAACACTCAAATCAATAAACACAACACTGATTCAAATCTGGTCAAAATCCGATCCAGTGGCAAAAATTGCCTCCAAATAAAAGAGAATCTCTTTGCTCCAAATTTGGGTTAACCAGTTTTTTACCTAAAAACAAAGAAAGACAGTTTTAGTTTCAATTTCAGATTGACTTATCAACTATGACTGATCAACTTTACCACAATTTTTGCCATTGGCTGTCAAACCTTATCTTTAACCCAATTAGTCATGAAAAAGCTCAATTAGTAACTGTTTAACATTGAACTATGGTTAATCAGCCAATCGGTTGAAACAAAAAGTAGACTTGAATTTTAACTGACAAACCTGTTAATCATAAACCTTTCAATTAATTTCAGAACCAAATTGATAAGCATCTTATTAAACCCAAACAAGATGATCAGCTAACAGGTCATTACAATACAACATCGGTAATTTGCTACCCGTGTGAATCAATCACCATTAGTTAAGTAAATCACTTTTTATACAGTTCCTAATCGTTCATCTCTCAATACTGATACAAAATCAAAATACACCATCAACTAATATTAAAAGAAGGCAGTTTGATTGATTTGATGGAAAGGTTAATTAAAGGTAATGTTAAGGTTAAAATGGGTAAAAATTGAAGATGATTATTAGTCTTAAAACGGTGAAAAAAGGTTAACTCATTAACCTGTCAACATAAAGGTTTAGATAATGAGACTCTTTTATTTCTTGTAATTGTCTCAATAAGGTGATATCAAGACAACATCATCAATGTAATATTATTATTAATCATGTTAATATTTAAATGATTAGATCCGTTTGAATTAAATAATACTCACTAAAACTGTCCTTCAAGTTAATAACAATAATGACAACAGATTTGCACGTTATCATTACACTTGCATTTAAATGTTTGTTGTCGTTGTATAAATTGGTTTGTCATGTTAATTAATCATGAGAATCATTTGTTTCACTCTTCTCCAAAACAATCAACAATTCAGGTCAATTTGATCTGTTTTAATAAAAGTTTCAAGTTTCAATCAAGCTGATTACCTTGGCACTGTACATATCGTGTGTTAAAAATCACAGTTGATACACAACCATTTAATGTACAAATCTTATGTATAAAGTGGCAAACCTTCCTGACAACAATTTAACCTTTTAATTGTTGCTGCTGTCTTTTCTATTAAAATCGAATCAACTTTAATCATTAAATGATTCAGATGCATCATGGGCCACCCTCTGAGGTATCCATAATTATGTACCATCATTATTGACACTCCTTATATTCAATCATTTTACGGACGTTACAAGATGAACCAACATTTTACTTAACCTTAAACTTCAAAATATACATTCAATACTCTAATCAAATCTAGACACAACTGGATTAACTAATCAACCAATAACTGGGTGACTTCACCAATAAACTGGCCACTCAATCAGTGTGGGTGAACATGTGATTAGTAGATCACAGTTTTCAAATGTTTCAATCGTTAATCAAGTAAACTCCTTCAACTGTTGAAGCAAACATTAAAATCAAATCAAAATCTAAACATAGCAATCACTGTCCTAATAATGCAAAATAACCTAAAGTTAACCTTTTTCAATTCAACAATCAAAGTAATCATTTGTCAATAGATTTCTGTGGATTCACTGAATCACAATAATGGTTAAAGATTGATGTTTAGATCAATATGAAAAATTGGCAATTTTTGTGACCATTAAAGTCCAATTGTTGCTGACAATAATCATGCAAATAAACTGATTACCCTTGAGTCTTTGATTTCAATTCAACTTTAGTGGGTTAACCAATTGAATTTCCCTCCAAAATACTATTGGTGAGTTTGAAAGGATATTGATTATACAAGGTGACGGAAGTTTAATATTTAATTAGTAGGATCTTGGGTTAATAATAAGGATAACATTTGAAGTCAATTTGAAGGACTTTTTGCAATAATGTTAAACCTTGGTGTTACAAGTAAAATGAAAATGGTTGCAAGGCACAAAAAAGATGAAAATGGCTGAAAGGTTAATTGTGTACATTTTAATCACAACTGTATTACAATGACAAAACTTATTGGCTAGCGTTTGCCCTTCCCAAATATCAACCAAGAAAGACACCTGAAATTATATTAATTATATAACAAGCAACTGATTGAAATGATTATATCAAGTGAATCGCCAAATGAGACTTTTCTGTATTGAGACAGTGACCATTGCAAGTGTAGGATGAAGAGGTTGACTTTTAATCAAGACAATTTGTTAAACAGACTGAGGAGTGGTTGCAAATTAAATTTGATTTGTACAATTTGGAGAACTAGTTTAAACTCAATTTAATCAGCCAGAGGTTATAAGAGCATTTGTAACAATACAATTTCAAGTGTATTAGGAAAAAGGTAAGTTAAACTGTGTTTTGTTTTTCATGTTTTTTTTCCAGTTTTAACTCAATTGGTTAATTATTGCAGGTAGTCACATGAATTTAAAATTAAGTTAACCTTGACAATAATATTGATTGAATATATTCAGTAAATCAATGAATTTGATTAAACAAATATAAAACGTAAATTTAGTCTCATTATTAAATATTATAATTGACACCAATCTTAATGTATAATTTTTGTTATGAAAACCTGATCAATCAATAGACCTTCAACCTTGAATGGACTGGCCTCAAAATTTACCTTTTGTTGCTATTAAACAAATAGTCCAATTTGATTTACTTAATCCGGTTCAATAATGGTATAAATATATAACGAAGGTGATTAAATATTGTATTTAAATTGTTGTCCAGTTGTCTTACAATAATAATGGTAAACTAATGGTGTAAATAAGGTCGATAGATGAAAGGATAACATGCAATGGATTACCTAAGGCTATTGAAAGCATTTTTCAATCATGTGAGTTTCTCTGTTTAACTGCATTCAATCAGATTGTACATATGATTAACCAGAACATTGATAATCAAGGGTAATCCTTAAATTGTTAATTAAGCAAAATAATTATTAAACCAGAAAGTGAAAGTTGGTTTTTTGGGTTTTGCAAAGAAAGGGCAAACATGATGCACCAATGACTTGTTGATAGGGATCATGGATCGTGAGAAATGGCGAGATTGGGTAAAGTGAAAGTTGATTAACTGATTAAAATTGGGTTCAATTGACAGAGTATTTGAAAGAAATTAATTATGATTACCTGAATGAGTCGCAATAAAAAAATGGATTGCAGTTATAGTCAAAATGTCTGTCCAAAGGTTCCTTTATCCAATAACATGTGTTTTGGTACGATTGAGATACACTTGCACTGTACAGAGTCACTAACACATTGGTTTGAAAGTCTTAATCCTTAATTAAAGTCAAGTGATGATCACAATATAGAAAGTGATTGTTGGTCAACTAATTGTCGTTGAAAATATTGTAGATGAACTGATTTAGAAGATTTAGTTTGGGATTTTCTGCAGAAAGTTGTTTGTAGTGTGAAAAACAAGAGGTTTGGTAAGAGTTTGCTGTTGCTTTGAGTCAGGTTAAACTTACTCTGTTAACATCCAACTAACAACTGGTTTTAGTCAGGTAAGATGAGAGGGAGAAACTGATCATTCTTGAGTGAGAAAATGATGAAGACAAAATGATATTATTAACTAAATTGTTGTTGTTTGTGCTAATCCAACTGTTAGTTAACAAATGTAAATACCTACCTTTGAAGAAGACTTGTTTTTGTCATTGATTTTAATCCTCCTTTTTTAAATTGGCAGCTTGGGCCAGCAAAAAAATGGCAAACTTTAGATTAATTAAATGTAAATCTAAATCCGTAACGAATTTCGTGAAAAAAATAAAGGCTTCAATTAATTTCCAATAATTAACGATTTCAAAGTGATACCAGAAAATACATTTGTATTGGGTTAACCAAGAAAGGTGCGACATTTAGGTCTCTCTGACGTAAAATGAGTTCTCGTTGAGTTCATGTTTTGCTGGAAACACAGCTGATTAAAAGAGTAAGCATTGGTAAATCAAATGTAATGTTACTTTTTAATTATTGATGGTGCATTTTGAAATTGTGATTTAATCAGAAAGAAAAATTAACCAAAATTTGTGTAATAAAGGGTCAATATGGATGGTAACCAGATTTGTGAGTAAACCTGGAAACAAACCGAGAGAAAAGACAATGATTAGGAAGTCCAAAAAGCAACAGTAATTGTGAGTATAAACCAACGGAGGTAATAACAAGTGGACAGTAATTAAGTTATTATAAACGTTATTTGCCCTTTAGGTGTTAGGAAAACAATGAAGGAAAGGATGAAGACAAAAAAAAGACAGAAAAGGACAGAAATGATAAAGGTAAGGAAAATGAAAAATTGTAAGAAAACAAAAGGTTGAAAGGCAAGTGGTAAATTTAAAACAATTGGTATACTGATGATCCAGAGGATGATGATGATGGTGAAAACTGGTGAAGATGATGGCCAGGATGACAAAGACGATTGGTAGAGAAGGATTTTTACTGTAAATTATGACCAGTCGGAAGGAAGTGAAACTTTAATGGTGATGATGATAAGATCTAAGTGAATTTTGTTGATGTGAAGATGTAACTTTTTGTGATACTACCAATTGAGAGGCCAGTTATTATTGTTGTTGATGATGAGAATCATGTTCATCATCATTTTCACCATTAATCCCCTCAGATGAGAGTAACAGTGAACACAAATAATGAAAACCCGGAACACAGGAAATAATAAGTTTCCATCTCTTGTGGTGTGGACATGAAAATATCCCTCATTTTGCTTTGTTGTTTTTTTACCTTTCCTTTATTTCAATGTACATAATGTTTCAACATTTCATGTTTTTTTATTGTATTTCAGAATTCTTTAGATAAATTTTTTATCCTTGGTGTCAACCCAGCAATATAATGATGAGAGATGATAAAATCTTCCCAAGACTTGAAGTCAACCTTGGATAAATTTAGCATTATTAAAGCCCAAAACAGGACTAATATACATGGAAATGCTGTTTTGGTTGTATTGTAATTTTGGGACTGTACAGTTGTTTACATGGTAAAGTTGCTCCACTGGTTACCCACTTCTCTCTGAGAATCAATTGTGAGCAATCAAATTAACCTTCTCAGATTCACTGAGAACCACGTAATCAAATGAACAAGGATAACCTGATCACCATTCCCAATGATTACCATTAAAAATAATCATCTTATAGACTCATTGAATTACCCTTGTCTGACTTGTTAACCTTCAGATCACACAATTATTCAAATGTATACAAATGACCCGGTCAAATGATGATCATTATGGATTATGATTGGCTCTAAACACACCATTTACCTACCTAATTCACTTGATTCAGCATCATATTTCCATCTTGAACACTGTCCATATTGTGAACAATTTAATCCACCCTTAGCTTTTTGTTTTGCTCATCTCAGTTGGCTTCTTTAAATCATTGTGGGTTGCTTTATTGGTTGTAATTTGTTTATCATCATTGTACTCACATACATATATATATATTAATTGTACGATTTGTTTGATTGTGTGGACATTTTGGTATTATGATTATCATTTGCTTTATTATTGAATCGCAAAATCAAAATGATCTCTACTTTTACACACCTACACTTTATATCAATGCAGTCGCCATTAAGAAATCTTAATTGTATAACTTAATAGCAAGGCTTTGGGCTTAACCTTTTATATTACAATTTAAATGTTTTCCCTGTTTAATTAACGGTTGAACCAAGTGTTAATCAACTTCCATTTACGTTAATTGTAAAACAACTTGTCTTAGGAAGTGGTCTTACTGTGTGTGTGTCTGTATAATAATCAGTTAATCACAATCGGTTTGTAGCCATCACATTTGCCAACTCAAACTCGCATTTTTGGGCCAATTTATCATAATCAAAGTTCTGATTGAGTTTCTCAAATTCAATAAATGATGTCTTACAGCCACAGTTGAATGATAAAAAATTGCATTGTTTATTATCAACTGTAATTATAAAAAACGAGTAAATGTTTAACAAAAATAAATGCTTAAATATAAATACAATTTGACTTTTTTCATCAGTTGCACATCTTTTTGTACAATCAGGTAACAATTTTAATAACATTTTTTACCAATCAACAGGTCCATTTGATCTGTTTTTCCCCATTTCATATCATTTGGAAGTTATATGTCACAAAATTGTTGATATTTAACAGATTAATGGACATTAATTGTAATCGATGGGAAGATTTGTCGTAACTTAATACTAGTAACAGTAACACTATTGTGAACTGGCACCAGTTGAATTAATGTTGCAATTAAATTGTTGATATTAACCAGACAATGAAGGTACGTTTTGAAAGAGATCATAATTTAGATAGAAATTGATTCCGATCTCGTCCAATTGATAACTATAATAAGAGCCATTTTAGCCAGACAAATGCGTTTTGGTTAGCAAAAAATTGGTTAAATGTTGGTCACGTCAATTTGAAACTGCTTTATAAATAATTGTTGATCATTTGTTGAACACAATTTATCACAATTTAAGTCATCAAATGGGTCGATATCAATCGTCATAATGGTATGTCTTTAATTGTATTATCAGTAAACTGCTGAGACATAAAAATAAAAGAAAAAGAAGAAAAATGAACATTAATTTAATGTTAGCAAAAGTATTAGAGACAAGATTTTTTTAAAGATTAAATGATTTTTTGGAAATTTTTGCTATTTAAAACATTACATGCAATTTATCACCTTTCACTCTAGAAGTTATCACTTTTATATGATGAGGATGAATTGCATGTTGTTTTATTTATCACCATCTGCCTACACAATATTGACTGATCCTGAAGGCAAATCAATTAATGAAGCTGATCATAGACTCGAGACAGGTATTCAATTTCAATCTCAACACTTTCAACTAATAATTACATTATGTAAACATTGACATTTCATTTATCTAAATGAAATACAATTTGTTTGCTTTTCACATTCAAATTATAAGCTGAATTAAATTGTCATAAATCAAAAAGCAACGTTTTCAACATTTACTCTTAAGGCCTATCTGTTCAGTGAAATTTCCTCGCTTTCCTTAAAATCAAGATTTATAGATAATTTTACCTGATAAATATGTCTTAATGAATAATCATTTGTTGAAATTTGTGAACATTCATCAGGTCCATTTGACTGTGTCTGGGTCAAGTTAATTTTACCAAACGGGATAAATTGTTTCTCCATGGATGCTTCATCAATGGACCCTTCAAACAAAGTTGTTTCCAAAAACATTGTTGCCGGATAATCACTCGTTTCAATTCCAGTCTCATATCTAATATCATCAACTGTCGTATGCAAAGACGAAGTATTTAACTAAAAAATAGGGGAAAGATCAAAACAAAAAAAGCACAATGAGATAAATTGAATTTCATTAAATTAAACGGTTCTTTATACTCACTTTATACACTATTGAGGTAGATGTTGGATAACCATCACAGGTTTCTTGACCTTTGAATGAAGCTGAGATCATTTGAGGTGAACTTTTAACGTCTTCTTGGCGAATAGGATGAGCTTCATAATCAATCGAAACAAAACCTATTCCCGGATAAATTAAAAAACATTAATTAAGATCAATTACCAAACAATTGTTTCAGAACCGCTAAAAAATCTTGAAACAATAGAAGTGAAAAAATAAATTTTATACGCTAAAGTCGCCATCTAGCGTATTGATAAAAGGTTATATCCAAGCCACATTAAATTTTTGAACAACAATATTTTCATTAAATCTAACAATCAAAAGCAAATATAAAAACCTAACCATATAAACACAACAATGTTTCATAAACGTTTTAATTTCGTCAATTCCATAAACTCAACTACCTATGAATATTTTATTTAGGACTCAATATTCAATCTGAATTCCTACTCAGACCATTGGCAGGTCATTACTTTCAATAGCTCAATAAGTGATAGCAAAGATTAAACAATCATTGTTTAACAATGGACATGTTTACCTACAAAACTACAAACGTTTAATGTTACTCTGAATTTGTTACCAACAATTTGAAGCCAGTTTAATTTAATTTGTTTCTTTCAATTACCAGAATAATTATACCTGTTGGTAAAAATAACTGTTATACTGTTCCAAATATAAACTCATGTATAAATTTTGTGTAAACTCTCGTGTAAATAATTTGTTTTAAGTGTCTCGTTATTTGTATTTGGTTACCTTGATTTTGATTTGGTCCCTTGTTACCAATTAATCGAAGACCAATAAGTATCAAGATGGTTATCATTAATGTAATGAGAACAATCGCAATCAACCAAATTAACCAATCAACTGGCTCATTATCTGCTATAGTGGATGCTATGGAAAAAATATATAAGAGAAACAATTAGATTCACATTTGAGACGCAATAATCCATCAACATCAAGATGATCTGCCATTGTATTCATCACATTATAATCAACTCATTTTGTACTCTAATGACCTGCAATCCATTAGATCTCTTGAATTTTTGTCATCATCTTTGATTTACTACATTAAAGTAACAAAGAGTTGAGTAAATTGTTTACTCTTCCAACCAACTTCAACTGGGAGTTTACAGTTATATCAACACTTAAATCTTTGCTTATCATGCAAATTTTAACCTTTAAATCGTCTTCATATCAAGTAGCCAGTCACCAGTAATGGATACATGAAGTTGATTAAAGAAACATCAACCAATTTGATTAACAATGGGCATAAACAAAGCGACTAAACAATGCTTAATGACATAATAATTACAACAGTCATTTCAAGTTTACAAGATGAATGTTTGAGAACGAAGCTTCACCAAATAATATATTAATGACGATTGTCAATATTGTTGATAAAACCATTGAAATAAGCTTTGAATCAAACAGCAACTGAATCATTTGATTAAAAAAGCAATACCAAAGGGAACCACATTTGCAATATTGACTTTGTTTGTCAAAGAGATACAATTGAATTAGTGTGAATCTGTTAACAGTTAGTTAAATTTTACAGAGTTGGCCTGATTAACTACTTGTACTTGTTACTGGTTCAATTAATGTGACTCGAAAGATGCTTTTGATTAAAAGGTTGCTCTAAAAGGTTGAAAATTGAATTGAATCATCCGACGATATTTTCATTTCAATATTAAACTGTAATGTAAGGCAAGAGGTGAATAATAACTTGATGGTAACCTTGTCTGACCTGATCTAGAGTATTGTAAATACAATGGATTAAACAGAAATTAGAATAAGAAAAGGAAAAAGTAACTAATAAAGTTAGTTGATTAACTCTTCAGGGAAATCAAATTTCCATTGCATATCAAACTCATGTTTACACTGGAATCACAATCAAATGGTTCACTACTCTTGATATAATTTGACTTCTTCTTTTCATCTTAATCATCTTTAACTGTACCCTCGTTAACTTTCATTTGTCCATCTTAATTGTTGTTTATTTTGATCAACTTTAATACTTTTCAACAACTTAATCCCAAATAAACAACTCAAAGGTAATTTATAAGCTAAACTTGTTCACCGTTTACCATAAATTACAGAAACACCAGCAAAAAGCAAGCCTTGGCTGAAATATTATACAAAAGCTCACAATATTTAATTTGATTGATCACATTAGAGGAAACGAATAATCATACCAATTAAAGGTTTGATCAATTGTTTAGTTGTATAAACACTTATAGCCAAAATAGTCAAAGCTTCATAATTTTGCATTATAAATCAATAGTTGACCACAAATGAAAAACGGGGTCTAATAGAGGGTAATCACATCTTTCTTCAATTATTGAATAATCTATCGATTAACCATTTTGATAATAAGTCAGACGATCCTTTATTATCCCATTTCACTAATTATTGTTGTATTTAATAGTTCCTTTGAAATTGAAGGTTCAAGTCTAGTCAAAAAAAGTAACAGTTTATACAATAATATGTTGTTACATAAGCTTTGGTAAGCCCAGTTGATGTTATATTAGATTTATCAAAGTTGGATAGTTGATGAACATTTAACTTAATGGTAGATTAAACAAGCAATACCATGATTTAATAGTCGATGAAAATAATGATGAAACAATGGACAGTGAAAATAATGAGATAATACCATAATTAGATGAAAATTAATGAGTTGATAAGACTTACTTGAAGAGGTTTGTTTTTCTGGTGGACCTAAGGTTGAGCCTAATATAGAGATGGCAGCACTTTTCCCTTTTATATTTGATGCGTAAATATTGAATCTTATGGACGATCCTGGCGGTAAACGGTCAACTAGGAAAGTTGGACGATCTTTTGATGTTAAGTTAATTAATGAATTTTGTGAATTGGCTTCGATTACTTCCATTGTGAAATATTGCTGTAATCCTCCATCATCACCAGGTTCACAATTAACCAAAATGGATGTCATTGATTGATTACTGAGGAAACAATTAGCTGGAGGTTGAGGCGGTCCTGTGTTTTTTTAGGTGAACACCATTACAAAGAAATAAACAAATAAACATGAATGGATGATACCAGGAAATCAGAGGAGACGGAATGGTGGATCAATGTGTTAACAGTGATTATGTGATGGACCAAAAAAATTAAACAGGAAATTATAGATTGAAATCCAATCGAGTTAATCATTTTGAAATGAAAAGTAAATTCGGAAATCCGTAGTGAATTGTATTATGGATGGTTGACAAGAGTAAGTATGAGACAAGATTGGAAAAAAGAGAAAAGGAAAAAAAATTAGATTATTGAACGGTTCAATCTCATTATTAAACTAATGTTGGATCATAAACGATTAATTTAGCAATTTATTTATTCTTCAAAAATGAATGGTAAATCAAACAATGAATTTCATCCTTTTTTTACCCTTTCTTTAGGTCTTGAAACTGGTGACTACAATCATTCACAATGGATTGTTTTTTTATGGGAAAAGCAAAATATGACGTGGAAACAATGGTGAATCTGGATCCTGCCTGAAGCCAATTCTTATTATAACAACACTCCAGCAACATGATTAACTGAAAATATTGAACAATCATTTGAATTAACTAAACTATTACAAATGATAAAGACAAGATGTGAATACAAAATAATGTTTATCTTGTAAGAGTTATTGAGAGATTCATTTCTTGTTTTATTGTAAATACATTGTATTGTATTTTCCCGTGTTTTCACCACCAATTTAATAATGTTTGATTTCAAACTTAATATATTTGTGCACTGATTTGAGTAAATCAATTGTCGACGATAGTCTTCATTGTCAACAATTTATTTTTAAAGTTTTATTGAGTGAAGGCAATTGAGACATTCAAATGTTGCCCAATAAACTCATTTGATCCGTCAATTGTTTCTTGCTGAGCTTTATTAAAATTATCATGGGAATTGGTGAATAATTTGAATTGCCTAAATGATTGAATTAAAGCTGTGAGAGACCTAAAAATTGGGTAAGATGATAATGATAAAGATGGGAGGGAATGAATATAATCACCATAAAATCAACATGATAATGAGAAGCAGTAAAATGATAGGCTAACCAACAACAAGGAACCATTGAAAATACAATGTTAACTGTAAATAGATTGAAAGGTTTGACCCAAAGGTTTACTTGGTTAGAGTTTTGTTTGTTATTTTGGGTGAGTTTACTTCAAAATCATATGGTAATATCCATTTAAATATAAATGGTTGACTCTAACCATTTAGATAATAGCAAAGTGTTGGTCAAAATGTTGTAAAAAAGCCTTTTTATTTGCTTAATATTATTATAATATTGATCATTTGTTACTTGGAACAGAAGTGAAAGTAAAGGAAAAAAAAGTAACTAACAAACGTGAACAACTAGCAAATATATTGCACCTTAAAATGGTTATCCTCATGAGCCAATAAGACTAGGAATGTCTCTTAAAATGATGATGATGATGATTGGGATGAGGGTGAAGGAAGAAAAAGAAATTCTGTATTCGTATGGAAACATAGCAAAAAGAAGAGTGTCAATTTAATTATATGGTCATGGTTAACTGGCAGAGCAATTAAATCAACCATTCAACTACTCAAGATAATGAGAGTAACATGTTTCCATCTTGAAACCTTTCATTCCCTTATTTTTCAACATCCTTTGTCTCTACTTTCAACCAACATTTTCATCATCACCCTTCATCATTGATATCTTTAACATTTAATCCAATTCATTTCTTACAATTTTACAATTTTATCTCATCATTATCCATGTAAATATACTAGGTGTTCAAACGGGTAGGTCAAAAAGTAAACGGCTATATCTTTAGAACGGATTTGTTTATTGATCTGAAAATTTGTATATAAATAGATTTTCATCAGGAATTAATGATACGTGTGCTCGAAATACCCTCACCTTTTTACAATTAACGCTATCAGACGATTTTCAAAAATACAGCTATAAATTTTTGACAAGTTTCCATTGAAATGTTATAATCCCATTATAAACTGCTTTTTCGAGTCGGGGGAGCGCTTTTGTTTCGCTTCTAAATACTCTGTCTTTTAAACATTCTCAAATTCCTGGTGAAGCTTATCAATATAAAATTAAAATGATCGCGATCGTGCACCTATTTCTCGAGATATAAAGCCCTAAAGTTTAACCTACCCGTTTGAACACCTCGTACATAAGAACGCTAAGCAAACAGTTTTTACTCCAATTTTTGACTAACGCTATTTATGCTGACATGCTATGTGAACTACAGGGGAAAACAATTAAATTTTACGCTTCAAACAACCAGTTCAAACCAGAGATCGACCATTTAGAGAAACGGGCAAAAGGCTAAAGTCAAACAATAACTGTAATTCAATTTTTGCGCTCTCATTTTTAAGCCTTTTTCGTCATGGTTACACTCTGGTTAAAACAAAGGCTTACATTGGTGTTTAGTAAACACTGTTTACCCAATTTTCAACACTTTTAAACCTCGACGATTTTACCATGTCCAGCGAACCGGTCATTGAAACTGATAAAACTTTGATTGGATCAAAGACTAAATTTGATATATCCAGATGTGAAACTGTCCACTAAATAACTCGAGAGCCATGTTATCGATTCGTAAGTTGTGCGGCATATTTTCCTATTTAAAATAGACTCTTCGCAATGAATAGATAGCTTCACATTGCCGAGTCAACACTTTCCCTAATAATCCTATTTATTATCTTATTTTAATATCTTCTTCTTTTCTAAAATTTAATTGCAGGTTCAAAAATATCTAATTATGAATGATGGAGTGTATATTGTTTGCCAATCATTATGTTTGTTAAATGAAACGTTTCCTTTGCAGTTCAAAGCAACTCAAATTGGACAACTTCCAGAGTTGAGACAAGTTCAGGTTATTAACTCTTCAATAACAGTTGATCAGAATTTTTCTTCGTTTAATTCTTCCATTCATCTGTCTTCACCTTTTAACCGTCTTTCATGACTATTAACTACACTTACCGGCAGGTATAATATGGAATATACATGGTTCCTTTTGTTTACCAATTGAATTTTCAGCAAGACACAATAGTGATCCATAAGATAATCTTGTTCGAGGTGAATATGAAAGTATACTTTGGGTTCCATTAGTGGTAAAACTTTTTATTTCAATGGTTTCACTCGAGTTGTTCAGGTACCATCTAAAGGTTACATCATCCGGATCTGAATCTACCTCACAGACAATCCTTGCTCTCTCATTACGTGCAATAGCCATTGGACTTTTGGTGGCATGTTTACCTGAACAAACCGGAATATCTGGAAAAGAAAGCAAGAGAAACATAATGATGTAAAGAGTAAAAGGATAATTATAAAAACTGACAAAGTCTATTAAAAGAGCAACTAAGGATGAAAGGATGAAAAGGGAAAACAAAACCAAGGAAAAAAAAGATGATGAGAAACTAATGATGAAACCAGTTTTCATGTCAATTCAATACTTTCCAATCAACTGACTAAATAACTTAATCTAATAATGTAATAAGTGAAAAGCGGACGAAAAAATTGAGAAAACATTTTTTCCTTTTTTTTGGGTTCATCTTTTCGTGAAGTAAACACATCATTATTATGAGCAGGTTTCATGATGAACACCAAGGATAAGTTGGCAATGAATGCCGTTGACAAGAGTTAATTAGCTAACTTATATTACTTTACCCATCATAACTGTAACTAACAACGAAAATGTTGTTGGCTTTTTGCTTTGTTTGTCACATTTATCTGTTCTCGCTTTTCACTTCCAACACTTTTCTCACAACAAGACAATTTCAATCCTAAATCAAGAGATCACTTTTACTATTAATTTGCTTCTGACGATCAACTTGATTATCATATTCATTAGACAGTGAAATGATATTATTGAAGGAAAGAAAAGCTTCAACCTTGATTGATCGATCACTGAAACACTGATTCAAGTAACCTGTAAGAATTGAAATAATCAAATAATCACAAATTCAATCCATTATTTGATGGAATTGAAAATTTTATGAAATCCGATTCAACGATTGATCTAATGGTTCCACTAACTCCCAATCAACATTTCCTTTGATTGATCATCAAATTGGTAATTTGCAAATTGGAAACAAAAATATTTAACTTTTAATGTAATCTCAACGTAATAGATGATGAGACAAGATGGATTGATTGAAATTTTTACCCTCAACAATCAAGGGAATTGCTAACCACGCAAATTGTCAATGTTTTTTTGCTCAACATCAACATTTTATTTTGTCATCGAAACTTTTTCATCTTTCACCATTTCAATGGCAACAAAGAGGTGAATCAAAAAAAGTGTTTTATTATAACTTGATAACCAACTTCATCATCCTTTTAATATAAGAAACCAGGGAAAGAATCGAAAGATTGAAATGATTAATCTTCCTTTTTTGGGTGACATTTAACCACAAGATACTCCAACAAGGTATCCATTATCTTTGCCAAAAAAAGAGAAATTCAGAGAACTCAGGAAATTCTGATTATTCACTTTCTGTTATATCCTTGGATTTCCGTTTCTCTAACATTGCTTCAAAATGGTAATAACTTTTACTCAATTCATTCTGTCTCATTAACTAATAAAGCACAATAATATTAACAAAAAGTCTGATGATGATGAAGTGGTTATCAGTTTGATTTACTTCATAATGCTAGCTTTATTAATATGGATTCAAGGTAAGATCATTTTGTATCTTCTCATTTATTAAGACAAAATTGTTTCTTCTTTTGCATTTTTCAGGTCAAAAAATTGGTTCTTCACCAAATTTGTGTCTCTTCCAATTGAATCTTTTATCATCTTCATTCCTTTATTCACTTAATTATTAGCTCAATATTTGTGACAATGGCTGATGAATTGGTTCAAGGAAATGACAATTACATTGTCATTCAATTATCGAGTTAACTTTCACTGTTTTGGTTACTTACATTGAACTCGAAGATAGAGGGGATTACTTGTGCCAAGGCCTTCCTCATTCCTTCCGACACACTGATATCGACCTCGACTGTGTTTACTTATATTTTGAAGAACCAACGATTGATTGGAAATGATGATTCGCTTACTTGGATCCGAAATCAATGGTTTCCCTTCAAACATCCAGGAAGTTTCAAAGACTCGAGGATTGGCATTTATGATACATTCAAGGTAAACATCGAAACCTTCACGAATATTTTCACCCTTGATATTTGGTCCTAAAGTTAACTTTAATAAAGGCACATCTAAAAAAGAAACGAAAAAAACAAATCCAAATTAGTAAATCCATTCAATTTCATTCGAGTCCAACTCAACCCAAACCAAGGTGAACCAATTCAACCTAAAAGCATCAACCTTTAGGTTAAAGGCATTCACTTGATGTGGGTTGACCAGTGAAAGTAATTGAAACTTGGCATTCATTTCAACTGAACAAAACCTACGCTTCATGTTGACCTGCAACAACTGTCCAGGTTAAACATTAAAAGCTCATTTAATTATCTTGTTAATTAATCAGGAAACAGTATTGAAATGATAGGGAAAAAGGTCTTTAGGTAAACTCAGGCAAGAGGTAAACTATTAAAGATGTAAAAAGAAAGTCCAATGTAATTAGATAATCATACAAATAATAAGATTAATTGTATTAATTGTACATATTAACATGATTATAAATAACAGGGAAAGAAAATAAAGTCATCATTATCGTATAATTAACTTGTAACATGTTACAATATTTTCATCTTTTACTCAGTTTCCAAGTTTCCTTAACAGCCTTTTTTTCCTTAACCCTTTTATTGTTTCTCCTTACGTCCAATAATTTATTGAATTATTCATTACCAATGAGGAATCCAAGTGATACAGATATTTCATTTCAAGTGAACATTATTAATGTTATTACGATAAACTTGCAACATCCAAATATTATCCTTTATCCATTTTTGCCTCAACTCACCCAATCCACAGAACTTGAAAATTCAGTGAAAAAATTTGATCATTGAAACTCTTTCAGATTTTCCTTTCCAGTGATTAATGTCAACATCATGTTAAACAAGAATATCAAGAAGGATACAAAAAATCGTTGGAATCAGCCAAACGTTATTAACATTATCTATTATTAAATACTCTGAACACATTTGAATATCATCAATATTATCATTGTTATCCATTCAATTGTGCTGTTTACATTCTCATCATGTATTCCAAAGTTTCCAATGAAATGAACAAATTTTCAACAATCGATTATCCAATTACAGGGAGAGAAACTTTTCGTTGGTTTAAAATGAAAGTCACGAGATTTCAATATCAAGCCAATTAACGAGTAAACAATTAAATTGGAATTTCATTCAATTCTTTATATCGATTTCATCGCAGTTATAAATACAATTAAAACGATAATTTGATAATAATCTCTTTTATCTGAACCATCAGCATGAAAGTTTCAAATGGAACACACAAAAGATAACAAAAAAGTGATGGCAAGGTAATGATTCAAATAATAACACAATGAGAATGAAATAATGATAATTATTATTTAAAAATAGTGAAAAAGATTACACTATTTAACTCGTTTCCTTTTGCAATCTCAAGATTCCATTTCATTCATTCTTATATCACCATGATCATCATTATTATCATTAGCATCTTTAATGATTCATTATGAATTTTTGCCATTCATTTTCAACTCTTTTTTCACCATTTTCACCATTTTCACCATCAGATTAATGAGCTAAAGAAACGTTCTCCTATTATTAATATTCATGATTGAAACATTTTTTTCATTTTCTTCTTCAATGTTATTCCTCGATTGCTCCTAATATGAAAAGCTTCCGAATTTCAATAGAAAAATGAATAAACTCCAAATCGATAACTGTTCAATACGAAAACCCGAAAACATCGAAAAATCCTTGGTGTTTGCTCTATCTTAGAGCCGACACCTTTCTGTCCTGTAACCGATACTGTGTCTTGGTGCAGACACTTTTTGTCCTGAATTTTCACATTCTAATGACAAGTTTTGGTGAAAAATTGATTTAACATGAATTATGCCGTTCTAGATTATCTGGAAACTCAGAGCTAACTTAGATTTGTTTTGAATGTAAATTGGAAATTTAAATGACAGAAATTCTTGAATAGTTAAATGATTTTAGTTTCTTTTAATTAACTTCATGTCATGCTGATAGAGTTGGCAGAATTTTCAGTCTTGGATTTTGATCGATTAATGATAATTTGAGAATTGAAAATTGACTTGAATATGCTTGTTGAAGCCTTTAACATTACCATCAATTTGTCTGGAACCAGCAAATTATGATAATACAATAGCAAACAATAATAATCTTGAACCAATTGTAGGCGAAAATTGAACCAGAAATAGTAAAATTATTCAAACTTTTGTCATGTAAATGTTAGTAAACAATTTTCAATAGATTTACATTGTATTAGAATGATTGTTTATCAAATTGATGAACATTCATCTCAATTGGAGTCGATTCAATTTAACTAAATATTCAACAGCAAATAAACTGAAAACAATGTCTTAATTTAGAGCCAACTCGCAATTGAAAAGTTTCCAATTTAACTGCAATTTATTAAACTATTCAGAGAAGAGCAAAAAAAAGTGAACATGAAAACTGAGAGGAAAAAAAGCTTTTATCGAGTTGAATATTTCAAGATTTATGTATTAATTAAATGAACTTGTGAAGACTGAAAAAGTTGACAAAAAATACTTTGTTCAAACAGCTTTATAGACTAAAGGTAAAGTCATGAAAAGGAGTGAAAAGTTGAGAATTGAATAAAAGGAAAAAATGATAATTTTCTTATTTAAAAAGCTCAAATGTTGAATTGATTACAATATTATCAACAATTCATTTCCCAAAAGCATTACGATTCTAATCAATAGAAGCATTTAGAGTAAAAAAAGCATTTCATGATCTTCATGACAATAGCAATAATAGAAACAATTTGATATTGAAAAATAGTGAAGCTGATCAAATGTGATAAATTGTTTGCTGATGGACTTTAAAAAAGTTGAATCAAATTTGAAATGAAATTTAAATGAAGAGAAAAGTTATGAAAAATTTGATTCCATCAGATAATCAGGTTTGACAGAATCATTTAAATTTTAATCATTTCCAAGGTGCAACAAAATTTACCTGAAAGATGACTTTTCCCAAGTCTAATGAAAAGCAATTGCAATAATAATGAATTTCTCATCTTCAATTATCTTTACCATTGGAAGGTGAAGAACAGTTTTTCAGAACAAAATTTTTCATGGAAAAACTTGAATTCTAAACATTTTCAAGTTGATCATGAATTCTGTCAACTAAACCATATTGATTCAAATGTATAACCTTTTCCTCAGTCAACTCAAGTATTACTTCCGATTCAATGAATTGCTTTTCATTTGATGGATAGACAAACATATCATCTTTACTTGAGGCCAAAATTTATCATCTTTTTTTATACTTTCTTATCATTTCTCATCTCATTGATGGTTCAGGTGAAAGTCAAGAATAAATCTTTACTCTCATTTATTATCATCTTATTATTTTCCATCAACCATTCTCCATGAACCTTGCCTTGGGAAATTGTTTAATCAAAAGTACGTTCATTATTGTTATCAGTTCTCACTCCCAGCCTTTTCACTCCCAGTGATTTATTTAAAAATATTCATTTGACAAAATTTCCTTTTCATGTTTACCTTTATTACTTGAGTAAAGGTGACTTTCAGATTCATCATTAATAACAATAAATGGTTTTCAGATTTTTTTTTCTTCCTTGTCTTTTCTAATAAAAATACTAAACAAAGAAGAGGCAAAGATGAATCCGTAAATGTTCAAGTTGATCATTTCAATGTTTCAACTCAATTCAGGGAGTGAAAGGTAAATGTTCATTGGAAAACATCTTTTTACATGATTGATTGTTTTGTTTCATTGAGCTTTTCATGTTACCGTTTTATGGTTTCTTTCTGTCAACACTTTTCACTTTTTTTTCACCTTCATTTTTGTCTCTTGTTTTTTTTGCTTGCTGTTTGCATGGGTTTTATTACATGAGAAATTGAATGCATTATTCTTGATTCAACAATTTTTTGCTGTTCAAGTTTATCATTTTCTAGTTCAACTTACAGACAATGTTGAGAATCATTCCTTCATCGATTGAACTTTCATCCAAATTTGGATTCTCGGCTCGGCAGGAGAAAAACTTTCCATTATTGTATGATTTAAATATGAAAATAGCAGTGTTAATTGTTACATTGGTGTCTCCATTGGTTGTCTCGGATAATGGGGTTACTTTATCACCGTCTAACCACCAGCTTATGAAGGGACGAGGTCGAGAACCAATTGTACGACATTCAAAGGCCACTTGTTTATTAGCAGATAATTGTTTATCAGGCGGTACTAAAAATACCTCCAAAGGACGCACTAAGAAAAGGAAGCAAGTTTTTGGGTTAAATTGGGTTACTTTCAATTAATGATATAAACATTGACATTGGATTGGTGGCTTTTCATTTCAATTGCATTTGCTGATTCAATCATTTTCCAATGCCATTATAAATGATTTGCATCGCGTGAATAATGGATAAGTGATGCTGTTTGACCAGATAAAGAAAATTTTGCTTCGTTTTTGCTTGTCAAATGTTGAAATGTTCAAGATTAATAGAGTCTAGAAAATGATTTTAAATAAAGTAAAAGTTGAGCAAACATAATCAAGTATTGGATGTAATTAGAGTCAATTTCGAGCTCAATTTAACCCAAAAAGGTCTGAAGACACTTTAAGAGTAGAGTTGATATCAAACAAAATATTAGATATTCCAATGAGAGTTAATTACTCAATTGAAGTTACAAACAAACTGTTAAGGCAACTGAAGTGTTTTGAAGATCTGAAAAGCTCATCAAGCTCAACGCACTCGGTGTATCTTCAAACTTGCCAACTATACAGGAAATACTTACAGTTTAAATCGATAAAAATAGATTCTTCTTTGGGTCGGGTTAAGTTTGTATTGGAAGCCCGACAAATGATTTCTTTCATCAAGATTGATCGGTTGAGCGAGTTAAGCGTTAATTCGTTGCGCATAGATCCACGAGGACTTTTGTAATAAGTGTCATCCAATAAAGTATAATCAGACATCCACCATGAAACAGAAGGCTCGGGTTTACCTGAAGAAAAAGAATAATAAAGCAAAAACAATTCAAAAATGGATCCAAACACGTTCGATTTTAAAGAAACTTTATTAACTTAATATGTTAAAATCTTACCAAAAGCATCACAGTAAAGCACAAGGTCAGTTCCTTCATCAACAGGACCGATTACTTGATTCACCCTGAGACCTTTGTAATCTGTTATAATCACTTCTTCAGGCAAAACTGTAAAGTAAAATGTTTATTGCAATTAAAAATTTCCATTAACTTTATTCTTGATGACCTTAAACATATTGAAACGTTTTTAAACTGTTCAACTGTGAAAACTCGAAACGATCCACAATTATTGTTGCTAACAATGTCAATTAAATGAATTGTAAATTGAAGCGATTATCGTAATTAATAGAGAAAGATTAATTAGTAGTTTCAATGGAAACAATGGAAATGAAATTTGTGCCATTTCTCTCATTCATCCCACACTTGCATTTCAATTGTTCAATATCATGTGCAATTGTTGAAAAAATAGATTAAATGAATGTTTCAATTAGTTTACATGACTGTGAAATTGAGGTAAAAAGTTCTTCTTTCAATTTAATTGAACATATTTATCCATATTTTCATTGCTAAATTGTTCAACTGTAAACTTGTACAGATTAAAAACTTCATCATGATATGGATAATCATCGCAATAAGCATGAAATGTTTGGAATTAAAAAGATTAATATTGGAAATTTGTTCTGTTTTCCATTCGAGTCTTGCCTTTTCACCAAATGCTGAAATGTGAAACTTTGGTTATTCAAATAAACTGAATAAAGATTTGCTATTAATGTCTGGGAAAATTATGCAATGTCCAAAACAGAGAATCCATTTCAATGTTTATTTGTGATTCCTTCAGACTTTATTAGCATTCAACTTGAAAATGATAATTTATTGAAGTGAAAATGCATAAATTATCAAATAAAATTTCATCAAACATCAAAACTGTTTCCATTGAAGGTAAAAAAGAGTCTTGAAAATAGTCATTTCACATTTTTTATTTCATTCATTTTTGCTCTCTTTTTTTCATTTCATTTTACCTCATCTTGGAGTAACAAATATCTTGTGAAAAAAGATGAGACAATTTTGTTGATACAAAAAAATAAAAAGTTTTATAACTCGCATCTTGAGTTGCTCCTTGTTTGAGGTAATCAGATCGATAAAAGTAATTCTAAAGATGATGAAGAACATGATGAGGATGACGATGAGTAGGAAGAGAAAGGATCACAAATTGTGAGTTCAAATCTAATGAACGTGTTAATCATGCGCTTGTGTGCGCCTTGAAAAGGATCAAATCTCGTAATAACTTTGGTGGTTCAATGGATGGTCAAAGACACAAATGTAAGATGATTGAGTTCATTGAAATGAACTGAAAAGCGTTTGCATATAAACCAATTCCTAATTGATTAGTAGACTAACTCATAACAACAATGTAACTAAATTTCATGACTTCTAGTTTCACTTTAGCCAGCTCAGAACCACAATTTAGTTTATTTAACCAGATTGAATGAGCCTTAAAAGAGCCAATTTTGCTGGTTAGTTTAGTTAACAAGTTATTGAAATCATTTTATTGACCGATAATCGCATTTATTGACACAAATGAATATAAACTCTACAAGAAGGTTAATGATCGAAACAATTCTGATCAACTGTCGATTTACCAGCACTTAATATCAATCTTGAAAGACGCATCACGAATGATCTAGAGTGATTTGATCTCAAAGAACTTTATTGAGGATGCGAATAAGGTAAAACTCGCTCATGAAACACTTTTCCAACTGCAAACGAAAAGCATTCTCCAAAACTTTTCCAAACTTATTGATTAATCAATCAACTGAACAACTATACATTTAGGTAAATCTAATTAGATCTGCAAAGAGATGAGATGCAAACTTGATTTGTTTAGCTTCAACTTTTCGCATCCAAAACGATCCATGAATATAACGAAAAAGGAGAAAAGAAAAAAGCTGAAAGATTCGCTGCTTGATAGTTCATTAACTCAATAACTGGAACAAGTGGGAAAATATTGCTTCACTAATTGTTGTCAGTTTATTTAGCCAATTTGAAACAATCAATTTGCAACATTGTAACACAAGTTCAAGTGAACGATGAAGCCTTTTGTTTTACGCAATTGTAGAGCAAGGATTCTCGTTGCATTATTTAATATCAATATTGCTCAAACTAATTTTATTAAATATTCAATATTCAATCAAGCCTGTGAAATTTAAAAGCTTCCTGATGATTCCTTTTACTATTAGTGTTGTATTACACTGAATAGTTGGTTAGGATGAATAAAAAAGAAGCAGGTTAAGCATTAAGTTATTGCAAGCTTTTCTCATTGAAAAAGATTCAATGTGATTACAGTTGGTTTACAAGATGAAAATTGATTTAGTTTCACATCAATTATTGTAATTATTCTTGCATATCTTGAGCACTTCAATGTAACTTTATAACAATCAGATGAAGACTTTTATTATTAACTAATTTAACCTTTTCAGTGAATAGAAACAAAATGTTGCTTCTTAACTTTGGCCATTTCATTAGCCATTATTCAATGTTCAAGAAGAGGAAAGAATCATTTCCAATGTTATTAATTATCGCAACTTTGATCAACACTCAACTCGACTTCAATCATTATTATTGATAACTGATTTTCAGTTAATAATCAACAGATTAATCGAAGCAATAATACATCAACAATATCGACGTTGCTTTATATATTCAAGTCAATTTACGTTAATAACAATCAACGTTTTCTTTCATTTGCTTCATAATTATCATTACAATACTAATGTTTCACCATTAAAATATGTATAAGCATGAGAATGAAGAAAGTTATTGAAACATTTTCAATGAAACACTTGATCAAGTAAATGAAAGAAACGAACTGAATCGAACAGAATTGGATCAATATCTAAAACATATCATTCCATGGACAGTCGATGACGATCTTCATTTTCCTTTTATTCATTATTCGTCCAACTAAAATAGTACAATTTTTTAACACGAACATGGCAGAATGTTCAAGCTGGTTGTTGATGTTTTGTTCTGATGATGAACGATGTTGATCGAACATCGATGTATCAATTGAGTTAATTGGAGTTTGCAAAGTAAACTTGGCAAGAAATGCTATTTAATAAGAGGAAGGAGAAGAAAAGATCTGTCTTGCAAAGCAGTTCTAACAATGGTTGTTATCATCTTGAAAAGTTGAAGAAAAGGGTGAAAACTTTTCTCTCAAAACGATTTCCACTCCCTAATCATGATCATCTTTGCTCAAAGATACGATAACTATCATGAGTCTTCTTAAACTGCAATGTAAACGCAAACAGTACCAATAAAGTTACAATAAACAAAGAATCGTTTCAAGAAAAATTTCGCATCCAAATGATAATGAATGGGAAGCGATTGAAACGTTCAACTGTAAGTCTAATACTTTGCTGGTTTGATGGGAAAACCTTGAGACTGTGAAGCCGCATAGAGTCAAGTGGAAGCCATCATCATTTATCAATACATTTATCAACTCATGAGGTAAAAATAAAGTTATTATTCCCTTTGCATTCCGATGGAAACTCTTTTCAATTTTTCCATCCTTCTTTCAATAACGAATGAAGAAGAACATGGAAAGCAATTTTCAATGTTATTGTCATTAACCAGCAACAATGCATTTTCACATTGTAATACAACAAATACAACTTATGAAAGCTTCAATGTCACTCGATAAACCCTTTTCTGCTCTTGATATCATTTTAAATCTTCAACTTTTTCCTTCCCTTTACTCATTCGATTTTTGGCACTTCAACAATCTTAAAATGAACACATTTTTGCACCATGAAATGGTTCAATTTGATAATCATGTTTTCATCAACTCGACAAGACTTGAACACACAAAAAGGCGTAAAAAGATATTTAAAATTTTTCCTTTTTTTCTCTCATTCAACAGACTCACAAGTGCTTCATGTTGGTTAAGTTGGAAACCGGTGAATTCAGATAATGTTTACAAAATCTCGAATCTTGAATCTTTTAAGAATTATCTGAAAGAAAAGTCTTGAAATTTCCTGTCTTTTGGAAATGAAAAACTCTTATTTTGTTGGAAAAAAATATTTAACTCTTTTTTCGCTTCTATTTTCTGCCTTTTTCATTTCAACCATTTTCATGTTGCATTAAAATCCATTTATTATTGTTGCTATTTGCAGTCTCATTTGATATTGTTAACCCTTTTGATTTGCATTTCATCTCATTAGAGTGTTGATTGATGATTAAATATCGAATCAATGAGTTTCCCTGTGAATGTTAACTATTCAAATGATCGTTTTTTTATGCCTCATCTTCAGTCGATTCAACTTTTCATCTTACCGTTTATTTGCTGCTTTGTTAATCATTTGTAATGAGTAGTTGAACAACATTAGTAAAAGTAAAGGATGAACTTTTGTTCAGCCAGAAATTTGTTTACTTTTCCGTTGATATTTGATTCAAGCCTTTTTTTGTTTGCAACTGAAACTGGAAAACAAAAAACAAATGTTGAATCGTTTATTGAAATGAATGAATTTGCACATTGATTTATAATTTCAACAAACTGTTTAGTTGCTGTTCATATCTCGAGTTTATACTCGCATCGTCGATTCACTTGACTAGTCATGTGGCTCATTGTTTAAAGAACTTCTTACATGGTGAGAAACACGGAGAGCTTTGGGATGGCAACATGGTAACTCTCAATGGAAGCAAAAATTTTATCCCGATTTTTGGGTTGAAATTGGAGCAAAAAAGCTGGCGAAGATGAGATGGAAGAAAATGAAGAAGAAGCGAAAAAAATAATCAATATAAATACATGGTTCAGTGAGTTGTTGAGATGTTATCATGGTGATGATGAACATGATTTGTTGATGATAAAAAGGATATTGGAAACATTCAAGTTGATCAGATTTGTTTAAATGCGGTTTCCTCTAATTATATCGTCTTTCCAACTCTTTTCATTTGTTAACCCTTTTCCTCATTCGCTTCTCTTCTGATAGATTAGTTTTATTCATCATTATTCAATCATTTTAACGATTAAATTGAAATGAATAAGATTAACTTTCCTTCAATTGGAACTGTTTCAAGTATTCAACATTATCACGACAAAATTAAATTTGTGTTCAACATTTAATTGTAACAGATTAACTGTAACTTTCCTTCCAATATTGCATCTGAAA